TTATTATTGGTTATGATATTATTGCTCAGTAGTTTTATTATTTGTATAAATAATAAAACTATTATATATTACTAACCAATTATATCATAACCAATAATAATTTTCTGAGACATATGTAGGAAGATCTTATTTATAGAACAAATGCTACAAATGCTTATGCTATAAATGCAAAGCATGCATTTTCAGCATTTGTTATAACATTCCATTAGCTTCTTTTAAAAATTTATTTGACATTTTGTGGCTTTGCTTTTGACTCGTGTGCAATTTAGTATGCTAATTCAACCTTAAGTAGATTTTATTTAAAAATTATTATTTAAACAATTTGAATAAATAAAAAGTTATTTCGTTTGGCACTAAGAATCTTCCTGTGCACTTTGCAAGTGGTTATTCTAAGGATAACTTCATCTTTCCCATATATATATATATATATTCAGAGGTTATGAACACATATATAATAAATGAATATAAAAATAGGAAAAAATAAATTGCTTAATATAGTTTTCAATAATAATCAGGTACTGGTGCACATGCTATTTTCACAAAATCTTCATATTTCACATATCCATTTAGAGATACGTTGGCTTCGCGAAAAATTTGCTCCACTGCAATAAAACAATACTTGAAAAGCTTGATGTTAAGTATAAGATTAAATTATGTAAAATTAAATTAAGTCACTTTACAAACCTTCTTTGCTACTCAATTGTTCACCCCAGTGGAGTAACATATGTGCTAATTGTCGAGCTGAAATAGTACCACTATGACATGAATCTGCTGCTTGAAAAGCTTTAATCACTTCTTTCGGTAAATCTTCCATACAAGTTTGAAGATGCATAACTTCTAGGAAATCAGCAAAAGACATTTTTCCACCTGACAATAATGCAAAAATTACATATGATGATAACAAATAAATATTATAAGAGCGTAGTTTACCTTTATCTTTCATATATTTGTTTAATTCTGCGATCGTTGGGCTTAAACCTAAGGATCTCATGATTATAGTAAGCTCATCGAGTGTTCGAATTTGACCGCTTCGTGCAAACAGGTAGAAACATTCTCGGAACTCTATAAAGATATTTTGAACAATTTGTAAATTAAATGTATAATATGCAGTTGTAATCTTATTATTATTCTGAATGTACCATCTATATCTTCTTCCCTGAAATATCGTGCCTGCAATTTGATAAAATATCTAAAATTATATATGAACAAAAAGAGAATAAAAGCAATATTATAAATTAAGAATAATAATTGCATGAAAAGAAATTGAAGAATATATAAAGTATAAGCAGATATATCAGCATAATCAATTCAAAAATTTTTTATTTTGACATTCGAACACACTTCAATATATTAATATAATCAATATATATATCAAAATTACCATAATCGATTAATTTTATGAAAGTGTTGTTCACTTTCCGAGTATTTTTGCCTTTGTTTTCCTTTTTACAACTTTGACATAACAAGCAAACGAAGTATCGCAATAACCGTAACCTCACTTTACCTCGTTCATCTTTTCTTTAAAGGCCTTGACACATAAATTACCATATATCGTAAGTGCCGATCCACAATATTCTAAGCCATGAACCTTAAGAAATTAGCCGCAGTTCAGCAGAACATTTATTCTGCACTGTTGAAAGTTTTCTGTACTAACATTGGATTATTCCTGTAGATTTAAAAGAATAATCCAATCTCAGGTCCAATCAGATCAGAAAACTTCTAATAGTTAAAAATTAAACGTTCTGCTGAACGTGGTCATTGACTAATCACAGTTGATTATTCCCCTCACATTCGATTACGATTGGTTACTTTCTTAAGGCTTGAGGCTTAAACTACCTATTGTGGACCGTCATTAAGAGAGAATTCATCTTGACAGACAAACAGCAGCAGCCAATCAGAATTCACGCTGTCAGTAGATAAAGAGTGCGTTTTTTTTGGGCGTTCACGCGCTTATTCAATCTTTATTGTTTATTATATGCTAAAAGAAAATAGAATTTTTGATAATTTGGTTATTGCTTAAAAAGAAAATATGTTTCCAGAATCAACATAACTGGAAGTTATTGATTTTAAAGTTTCTAAAAAGATAGCCCGGATTATATAATGAAAAGATTTAGAATTATAACATATATCGCTGATTTTTTTTACTTTGGAGTAAATAAAATTAAAAGCATTATCTTGTAAAATACGATGTACAACTTACAAATGGTTACTGAAATATAACCACAATGTTTTTGCAATAACACTATATTTTTCATGTAGCAGTGTCATTTTTAAAACTGTATTAAATATACTTACCTGTCCTGTACACCAAGTAGCCTCAGTCTCTCCTATTATTTCCTTGTGATTGTAAGAAATATTTTGTTATCCTTACAATAAATCGGAAAAAGAAAAAAAATTGGGCCTTTTGTTTATTTCCCTTTGCCCTCAACATTGGCGTGACAACACTAAAATTTTCGTATTTTTCCTATTTTTCTAAGCCTTAGAAAAAACGATAAAAACCGGTTTTTTCGAGCTTTCGGAATATTATTAAGTATTTCCTAGGGTCGGCTGGCATAACTTCAGTCGACATAATGACAATAAATAAACAGCATGGTCAACAGGTAATATTACAAGTTTCTAACGCTGATTATATTTAATTGTTACATATCACACATTTGCAACAATTTTCGTCGTTGATTAGATCTATACTTCTTGAAAGCTGAATCGACTAATCTATTGTATCGCACTTTTCAATCTCGGTCACAGAGAAAATGTCACGAGAGAAACTTGTCCTGTAATGCTTAAACCGTAAACTTATTATAAATTTATTAATACGATATTAACGATTGTGAAATAACGAGATAGGTAAGGAAGGTATTGATATTCAATATTAATTAACAATCATATAAAATTCACTTTATTTCAAAGTGATTTTAATATTTCAAAATTCTTTAATTTAAGCACTTAATTTTTAAATAATGTAGTGGAGACTTATAAATTTTAGATATTATTATAGTATGCACAGTCATAATGAATAGACTAATCTTTAAGAAAAATTGATGAATATATTAAGAGTTAGAAAAATATATCTTACCATTCTGAAAATGAAAAATATCGTGTGACATATTATAATGTGTCGTGTGACTTAATTACTGAGTATATTATAAGATAATAACATACATATAACATAGAGAGGAAAATAATATATGACGATTATTAAGGAATTGTCAAAGCTTTCTAATAATATAACTTAAATTGTCTATAGAACTTAAAATTATGTATAACAATTTTATATTATTACATAATATATTTTTCTTATCAATAAATAATTTGCGGTTGCTCTCACACTCACTCATACTCGTACATACACACTCGCGCGCGCGCGCGTACAAATATACTAAAGAGTTGTGTGAGAATTTTGTTGAAAAATAAAAATTACGAGATAACTTACGGTATAAAGTTACGAATGTATGTAAAAATTAACCTTCAGAATTAATATGCAATATACATAAGCAACAAATTAGTCTATCAGTAGCAATCTTACAAATATATAATACATTTCTAGCATATTACATACATACACATATATGAGCGCGCGCGTGTCAGTGTGTGTAAAAAATATACGTCCTATAAGTTCCTTGCTTATGGTACTGCTAATGGTACAAATATTATTTATAACGTACATAAAAGGATGTAATATATAATAAACTACGGCTATGATACATAATAAACTATATATATATATTCAAAACGTATTCAAAAAATCCCATGTCGACAGGATATTTCGAAAAACAAATATTTTAGAGAAAAATTTAAAAGTTGGTGGTTATCAAGCAATATATTAGATGAACATTTTAGTTACACCCTGAACTAAACTAGAAAAGTCACCTCAAATTTCTTTAATGGAAGCTACGTTTTATTACATATTCTCATTACTGCTGTCAAAACATTTACAAAACTCTAGTTACAAACCATTCTAAGATGAGAACATTTTAACTTATAAGTCTTCAAAGTTGAAGTAATGCCGACATTAACATTACCCAAGATGCACCACGTGGGAAAATTGTTTGTGTCAAAGCAGAAATAAGGATCCTACGGTTCGACACAACCACACGAACGTATACAAAAGTAATTTAAATCTAACTAGGCAACCTCCATACGATGCGCCTTGGATAATGCTAATGCCGGCAGTATTTTAACCTTGAGAACTCATAACTCAGAAAGTTCTCATCGAGAAAAGATTTGTAACCAGTGCTTCGTAAACATCTGGACAACAGCTATAGAAATATGTCATAAAACATAGTTTTCATTTAAAAAATTACAAGATAACCTTTCCCTGATCTTGAAGACTCAGTCCAGGGTTTAATTAATATAAACATCTAATATGTTGCTTGATACTCAACAACTTTGGTATTTAACATTTTTCTCGAAAAAGTTTCATTTTCAAGATATCTTGCTAGGGACTTTTTAAGCACCCGTACACACACATACACATGTATGTATACAACTAGATAATTTATTATGTAACATATATGTATGTACATATATATTATGTACGCGCGCACACGCAACACAACGCACATATGTGTTAAAGATTATTTCATCATGTAATTTGTTTTTGCAAATACGTGTATAAAACAGTTTCTTATGGTTTCCGATTTTAATTTGCACGTAAGAACAATTGTGTTTAAACGTTTCTTTTATAAATTAATTAGATTAAAACTGCCACTTAAAAATTTTAATAATCTTGAAATTTAACATTATTTAGCTCATATAGAGGAGAATTGCCAAATGTGTACTAGTCATTTGAATCATATATTTTCTGTAATTATTAAATATAACCGCGAGCTCTAGTAGTAAATATTTAAAATAAATGAGTAATGGAAAACATAACCAAAGCTTTAACGAATTCCACTATATTTTTATATGATATAAACATACTTAAAAAATTAAGAAATAGTATTTAGCAATAAAAGATTTGGCATTTCCCCTTTATATGAATACCTGTGTAGTTATGCATGTACATACATACATATATACATACATACATACAAGATATGTACTTATTACTTAATAAAGTATCGAATTACTTTTATACATGGTCTCCGAAATATTTTCATAGGGCAATTGTGTTCAAATGCAGGTAGAATAAGTTAAACTGAATAGAAAAGTCATGTATCATTTTGCAAACTTTGCAATAGTTAATGAGTAATTAATTAATCTGTGCGAATAAGCGTATGCGGGAAGCGGTAAGTCAGATGCCGGTAGGTAGGAAATGACAACAAATTTTGGAAGGCGAAGTAGCAAACAGCGTGAGACATAAACTGCATTATTCCATTTTCTGAAATCAATTACCGTTGCTAGGAGATCCTAAAAAGTAAACCATTTTTCTTACATGCTCAAAATCAACTTTCTTTATTTGTGCCTACGGAAATCGGGCTATCGTTTTCCGTATGCCTATCCGCTCAGACAGATTAATTAATTACTCATTAACTACTGTGAATTTTACAAAATAATACACTTTGGTATTTAATTTAATCCATTACAGCGGTCGCTCACGCCGAAATTTTCCAGACACTCTGTATAAATAAATATTTGAAGGATAAAATTTAAACAAGGAGTCTTGTTTGCTGTTATTGTTCCATTATAAACTAATACCTTGTAATAATATTAATATAAACATTACACGAATAGATAGATATACATTGTCCTGAAAAATCAAAATTTCGAAATTTGGAAATTGGAACGATTTCCTAAAAAAATATAATATCGAAATCCGAATACCAAAAAACAATGCTCTGAAATACATTTTTCCCAAAATAAATTGTTTCGAGGAAAAATTATTACTCTGAAATTGTACACACATATGAGGCATATAGAACAAACATACAAATATATTAATATCTACCTATTTAATACACTCTTGCTGTATTTCAATAAATGAATACTAATGCACCTTGCTAACGAAACATTTTAAATTTCTATAAAATTGTATTTCAGGAGATTGTCTCGGTATTCGGATTTTAATATTGTGAATTTAGGAAATTTGTCTACTTTTTAAATTAACAATTAATTACACACACACACACACACACACACACACACACACACACACACACACACACACACACACACACACACACACATTATATATATGCAGAGTGTCTCAAAATTAGACCAACAAATTCTAGATACTTTTAAAGGACATCAAAACTAGTAATCCTTGTCAATAAACCCATATTTACAAATGAGACGTTTTGACCCTACGGTGAATTATTTACAATAGTTGTTCGAAATGTAGACAATTTACTTCAATATGGAGATATCAGGAATTTTTTTCTCATCCTGGTTTTGTTGCTATCTCTTAGTAAGAAATATTAATAAAAATTACTTTATCAAACTAAAAACTGTAGGAAATTTTAAAACAGGTAGAATTATTGTAATATTGTTTATTATTGACTCGCGAGCTCAATATTACAGCGTTTCTGGTTTATTATGGTTTTTTTATGGTTTCCAATTTATTTGTGCGAAATTCGTTTCCAAAATGGAAATTTTTCTTTTTAATGAACTAATCGATATACATTTTATTTATAGAGAAACTAGATGTAAATGACCTATATTTCGAACTGCTATGAATAATTCACTCTAATGTCAAAACGGCTCATTTCCGATACAAGTTTATTGAAAAAGATTATTAGTTTTGATGTCCTTTAAAAACACCTAAAGTTTGTTAGTGTAATTTTGAGACACCCTGCATATATATATATATATATATATGCATGTATGTATGTATGTATGTACACAATTTCGGTACATTTCTTCAGGACTGAGTACACACATACACACACACATACTCACTCTTATATAATAAGTTAACGCATGTTGATTTATGCTATGATATTGCGCAGCTAGACAAGAAAACGTTTTGAAATTGTACAATGCATAAGAATACTCAACATCTGAATCCATGTGGCACTAGCTATGCTTGGTTAGATCGTCTGCTTCGACGAGAAGAACTCGAAAATAATGGGCGTGGTTTATACAAGTCATCACTCGAGTATCGTTGATTGCTCCTATTTCGGCTGCAATTTTAAGACACAACATTTAGAAAGTTAAATTGTAATTAAACCGATTCTTCTAACATATTCACTATCACGTGTCATATAAATGTGGCAATAATTATTCAATTTATATCCACATTAACAAATAAAATATGTCTATAAACTGACTCCATCATCGACATATAAATATTTGGACAAAGCATCCAACTTGAATTAAGGCAAGGGGCGATAATTTCATTTAGTTACTGAAGTACCGTAATTTTTCTTTTATCGGAAATGATGGCTCCATACGATATGAAAAACATATATGTAGGTTGGCCAATATGACTTTGGCTATATTATATATATGTATTTTTTAATTATACTTTTTCTGTTTATCTGGATTTATATATTGACCCAACATTTGCTTAACATTGGTCTATGTTTATTATCATTTGGACTTAACTGTACATTTTTATATAAAAAATTAAAAATATAATTGGGATATAATAGGACACACACACACACACACACACACACACACACACACACACACATATAGGGTATATACAGGTCTATTTAAAGTGTTACAAGCCGTTACCTCTGAAAATACGCATCATAACAAAAAATGTTTCAAATGAAAATAGTATGATTTGATAGGAGTTAAATGATAGTGAAGTTAATTAAAAAAAAAATTTTTTTTCAAAGTTACATGGTCACTATTAATTTCTTAAATAGAACGCCCTACTTTTGATAGCAGATTCTTATAGCTGACATTGAGACGTTTCCAAAATGGTATAAATTAAACCACCTTCCGTTAAAAATTTTCCGATTTATAAGTCTTTAAAATTATGATAACGTTGACATTATTCAAAATGTATGAGGTGATGATAAAGATTGCGAGACTTAACTTATTTCTATCTGTCTTTCTGCATATAAATGTATATAAATATAAGTATACGTGCTTGATTAGCGTGAGTCTTCTTGCCCTTCACGTTCGAATACATTTTCATCAGAATTCTTCGCATCAATTCAATAAATGTTCAAAATATTTACCTTTTTGTGTGGTAAAAGGTAAATATTTACCTTTTGTGTAGACATAGTTGTGATCTTCGCTAAAACGACGAACTTTTGCCAGTTATTCTATCGTAATTTTAGAGCAGGCTTGTCGAATTCTGTATTTCATATCTTCCGTTGTCGTTAGAACAGTTGCCATAACTCGACTTTTAATAGTATCCCATAGAAAGTAATCAAGTGGAGTTAAATTTAGAGGACGAAGCGGTCAGTTATTATATCTTCTTCTGTCTCATTCGCTTCTAAGAGGACTGACGCGACTGAGTGACTCAACATTCGTTAGCTGACTTCCCCCTCTACCATTCCCGACCGATCCGAGCGCGCTCTGACGGTTAGTCGCGTAAAAAAAAAATCACTGACATTACTTTCCGAACAAACTTTGTACAGATATATACAGATAGATAAATGGAAGTGTAAATTAAGCCTCGCAATCTTTATCATCATCTGATACACTTTGAACAATATCAACGTTACCAAAACTTTAAACTCATAAATTAGGAAGTTTTTAACTGAAGTAGGTTTAATGATACCATTTTCGAAATGTCTCGTTATTAGCTATAAGAATCTGCTATCAAAAGTAGGGCATTCTATTTAAGAAATTAATAGTGATCTTCATATAACCTTGAAAATTTGTTTTTTTTTTTAATTAACTTCACTATTATCCCACATATACACCTCCTTCAAGCCATACCATTCTTGTCTGAAGTATTTTTGCTATGATGTGTACTTCCAACGATAACAACTTGTAACATTTTAAATGGACCACCTTGTATATGTATAGAGATATGTATAGAGCGGCACTGTGGTCTGGTGGTGGAGCGCCAGATTTGTAGCGCGGAGAACCCGCGTTTAGAGTCCACCTGATTACTGGAAATTTTATTCCAAGCTGTGCTCTTCATATACTGAATAAAAGAATAGAGATTTATGTATAAAAAACTGGACTCCGTCTTTTGGAAGAGACGTTAAGTCGTTGGTTCACACAAAGTTGGTAATCACTATGTGAAAACCTCACGTTTTAGAAAAAAATACTCGCCAATACGCAATGGCAAGTATTGTTGTCACGTGAGAAGTGACTTACGACCGATAAGGGTTAATAACATATTTATTTAAATTTAAATTTTTTTATTTAAATATATAAATGTTTGCTTTTTTATGGACAGCTATAATTTTAAGAAACATATTTTTCACTTGAAACAAATTTTTTCTTAGTGTAAAATTATTTATATTAATATCAGTTAAAGATGTTATTTATATTCACCGCACAATATTTTTGCATTAAGTATTTTTCGAAAGTTTTTTTATAAAGTTTGAAATTTGCAATACTGCCAGCATTAACACTACCCAAGTTACATAGCAAAGAGGGTTTGGAGTCAGACAATGCTACGGGTGTGACGAACCGTGGGGTTTTATCTCTGCTGACACACACACACACCCACACACACACACACACACACACACATATCATCATCATCATCATCTTCAGCCTTTACATCGTCCACTCCTTAACATAGGCCTCTTTCATTGCTTGAAAGGATTTTGGCATTAAAACGCCGCGTTCCGCGAAAATCCTTTCAAGACAATGAAAGAGGCCTATGTTAAGAAGTGGACGATGTAAAGGCTGAAGATGATGATGATGATAATATGTGTGTGTGTGTGTGTGTGTGTGTGTGTGTGTGTGTGTGTGTNTTAATGCTGGCAGTATTGCAAATTTCAAACTTTATAAAAAAACTTTCGAAAAATACTTAATGCAAAAATATTGTGCGGTGAATATAAATAACATCTTTAACTGATATTAATATAAATAATTTTACACTAAGAAAAAATTTGTTTCAAGTGAAAAATATGTTTCTTAAAATTATAGCTGTCCATAAAAAAGCAAACATTTATATATTTAAATAAAAAAATTTAAATTTAAATAAATATGTTATTAACCTTTATCGGTCGTAAGTCACTTCTCACGTGACAACAATACTTCGTCACTGCGGTCGTACGTCACGTAGGAGATGACAAGTTCGCATATTTACCGAAACCAGTTACAACCTAGTGAGAATCACGCATAAAAAGCTAGAGTAATAAGGGTTAATATATATAGAAAAAATATTTTTTATTTTTCGATATTTTTCCTGTCGGTATTTGTTTTTTCATTGTATATTCATTTGCACAACATTTTGAGCATGTTTTTTTTTCGATAGAATTAAAAATATATGAAATGGCTATAATTACAATATTCACGGATTCTAATAATTTGTTATAACACGAACTGAAGTGATACTGCATGGTGTGAAAATAATTTGATCAGGGAAACATGACGTGTTAAAATATCCAAAAGTATTTCGGGTTTAACCATTGCAGTGGTTAAGGTAAGACTTCAAGAATTAAGAAATCTTGTTCTTCAGGATTATGATACATCTATCATCACAATTATGAAGGTTGTTTGATAAATCTGGTAAAAAAATAAAACATGTTAAAAAAAAACCGCCTTTACTTCTCAACATAGTCTCCATTGAGGGCAATACACTTGGTCCAGCGAGTTTTCAATTTTTTAATACCGCCGGAAAAGTAGATTGTCTTAAAACCTGCAAAATACTCATTGACGGCGACAATGACTTCCTCATTCAACGAGAATTTCTTTTCTCGAGCCAGATTTTCAAATTTGGGAACAGGAAGAAGTTGTACAGAATCAAATCCGGAGAATGAGGTGGATGAGAAATCAATTCGTGTAATTTTGTCATTGCGACGGTCGAGTGGGACGGCGCGTTGTCTTGGTAGAAGAGCGCTTTTTTTGTGCGCCAATTTTGGCCAATTTTGGCCGTTTATTTTTCAGTTCTTCTTTCGAACGATCCAATAATGTTGCATAGTCCTATTATTGTCTTACTCTTCTGTAAGTAGTCAATTAAGATAGATAATTCCTTGGGAATCTCAAAAACAGTGGCCATCACCTTTCCAGTCGTCAAAACAGTTTTCGCCTTCTTCGGCGCACTTGCACCAAGCATTATCCACTGTTTTGATTGCTCTTTCGACTCAGGAGTATAGTAGTAAATCCAAATTTCGTCCAGTAGCGAATCGACGCCAAAAATCTTATGGATTGCGCTTGTATATCGCCAAACACTGCATTGAAACATCCTTTCGCATACGCTTTTGATCGAGAGTCAGCAATCGCGGCACCCATAGTGCGCACAGCTTTTCCATATGCAATTTTTCATGCAGGATGTTATGCACTCGTTCCGTCGAGACGCTTACGGTCTCAGCAATCTCACGCATCTTCATTCGGCGATCTTCCATAACCATACCATGGATTTTTTCCACGATATTCGACATGGTCATTTCAATTGGGCGTCCGGAGCTTCGTCTTCAGTGCAGGTTCGGTCACGTTTTAATTCGTTAATCCAGAAATATACAGTCTTCAATGTAGGAGCAGAGTCCCCATGAACTTTGTCTAATTCGGCTTTGATCTGCGCTGATGTCCATTTCTTTAAATAAAAGTGTTTTATCACTGCATGGAAATATTTTATTTCCATTTTTGTGGCAACTGCTAAACCACTTGCTTTAAACGACTATCGATCGTAAATAACGCGTTACTTCTGGTTGAAGTTGGAAGTTTTAGGGTTGGAAGAATGGAACTTTCCAGGCGTCACGTTACCAAATGGATTGTGGCGCCATCTCATAGAAATTTACCAAACTTATCAAACACGCTTGTATATCGAAGAATTTAGAAGGAACGTCCGTGTAAATATGGAAACAATGAAATTCAAATATATTAGATAAGAATATAATAAAGAGACCAATATTTACAGCATTAAATGGGGAAGATGATGCATTATTAAAGAATAAAAAGGCCATGTATCAACCAACTAAATTATCAAAGATAATAATATTTTCTAATGTTAACAAGATTATAAAGAATGCTATTAGCAGAAATTTAATGAACTTAATAATTGTTAATGAAAATTAGCACATATTTAAAATACTTCCCAAATAATGTTTATTTCTTATTAAAAATTCGTTTACAAATGTTTTCTTAATGAAATAATTACATGATATATAATCTCAATGTGCATTTCGAACTTACGAGGGGATGATCAGATCTTTCACACATTGATTTCACTGAAATTTTAATTATAATACTAAACCCCAATCAATAAATAAGTGATACAATGCAACTGGAGTATTCGTGAGAAATTTGCAAATAAAGCTTCTCGTGCGCTCTAAGTACCGCTTATAAAGAGGAGCTCAGCAATAAGTGAACGTAGAAGTGGCAGACTAAAATGCTGCATATTACACATTCGAGTCTGACTTTTTCTCTCTTTCCTTTATTTTTGCAAAATATTTATGTCAATGAGCAACTAGGAAACTTAACATAAAAGACCCAATAATTAATAATTAACCATAATGTTGATGAAAATTAACTATATGTTTAATTATTTCGTACTCGCATAATATAATCGAGCCGAGCCAATGATTGTCATGTGTCAATTGATGTTAATAAATATACTTATGTAAAGAAAGTCGTTAATTGACGTGAACATTTTGTAAAAATAAAAAAGTTGGAAAAAGGTGAACTCAAACGCACAACATGCAACATTCCAGTCTGCCGCCTTTGCCGCTCTGCTACGCTCGTTAATTACTGAGTTCCTCTTCGTGAACAATATTTACGACACGCGAGAAAATTTACATGCAAATTTCTTGCAAATGCTTGAGAGTTGTGTCTTGCTACTTGTCTATTTATTGGTTAAAATTTAATACTGTTACGTCCGTGTCTTGATGCCCGCGCTTTTAGCGCTCTGAACACACAGCTGATTCTCTTGACAACGAGTCGTAAACAACAGATGATCAGCGTTGACTGATAAACAATGGGTTTGAGAGATTCTCTCTGGGGCGGTTGAGTCGTCGTGACGTGCGCGTCGATCCTTTGCGAGAGAGAGAGTCTACGTGCTTTCTTGTAAATAGCAAATATATAGTTGAAGTTGTTTCCCATTTAACGTTGTCTCGTTTTATTTCCCCGTGCGAGCGTAACAATACTATAACGTATTAATATTTCAGCGAAATCTATGTCTGGAAAATGATCATTCCCTTGTCAGTAATGTTAAAATCAGGACAGAATATGTTCTCTTGTCTGATCATTCCCTTGTTACTAATGTTCAATCAGTATCAGTTAATCAGTTAATGATAAAATCAGGACAGAATATACCTATATATAATTCAGGCAGTATCATTTCTGATAATTTACTAGTTGATTCACAGCCTTCTTATTCATTATCATGTTTCATGCCATATAGGTCACTCGTGACTAACATTGAATTTCCCAATTAGATCCTTTAGCATTTGGATTTTAAAATAAAATCTAATCATAAAATATTTTAATAATTATTATGAGATATATGTTATCTGACAAATAAAATTCATGGTTCATAATCGACAACGTAGATCACACGCGGCATAAACAACAAATCCTGTAAAATTGGTCTGATAAGAAACGTATTAACGGTGTATCATTTTGCGCGTTTAATGAAATTGGTCTCTTATATTTTTGTCTAATGTATTTTAATTTTATTATTGCTTCCATACTTATGTTTTCTCTGGACCTTTCCTTACATTTATGACAACATATATCTCATATGTTCAAAAAATATGATTTTTTAATTTATCGATTTTAATATTACTATTACAACGGTAAAATTTCGAATATTCTTGTAGTTAGAATACTCTCACAAAGAGATCTCATGAATTGGAACACGTAGATCTGAAACTTTAACAGTTTATAGGACGGGTAATTTGGTCCATATTGTCGTTCTTTTTCTAAGTCCTTTTTTCTTTTTTTTAATAAAGTAATATTTCTTTAATTGTTTTAAGAGCAAAGAAGCATTAGACAAATAAATAAATTTTATAATACTTAATTTTATTGATTTGTCATACAGTGTAAGGTTATGAGTTTGATAGAGAAGGATATTAACTGGTAACTAATTTTCCTTTACATAAATACACGCTTAATATGTTTTAAACACAATACAAATCAGAAGAGCACAAAAAGGAGAATCGAGCCGAGCCGTTGATTATTGTCTTATGTCAACTGAATGTTCAAGCGAGTATTTATTTCTTGTGTAGACGAAACTTTGCGAATTATACAAATTGTGCCAAAGGAGTGAGTCGCATATAAGGATATAAATATTGGTCCCGACAAATCACATTCGATGTTAATAAATGTACTTATGTAAGGAAAAATTAGTTACCAATTAATATCCTTCTTCTTCATCAAACAATCGTAACCTTACACTGAAAAATGAAAAGTCAATAAATTTCGACTATTCCAAAATTGACTCATTTTTTTAATGCCTCTCCGATTTAAATTTTTAATTTTATTAAAAAAAATAATAATAATAACTTTAAAAAAGAACGGCAATTCAAGGTATTGAATACGGATCTGCGACTTCGCAGGCAGTCATCTTATCGTGCTGCCACGCGCCACTTCCAATTACGGTCTCGTTGCACTGGCATACGCGCGACGTTGAAATATTTTTTCGTTAATAATTTTCAAATGGCTGACCATCTATACCTAATATTTCATAATTTATATTTGGAACTCCCCGCCTTATAAACTGTTAAAGTTTGGTTCAGATCTACGTGTTCTAATTCATTAAATCTCATTGTCAAATATATTAACACGTTATCATGTCACTTTGTTCACATTTATTTTCATATCGTGTACTCTCACTTCGCTCTTGTTATAAACAATTAACGTGCAAGTCCATAAGCAGTCATTTGTAATTATAATCGTTAGCGTGTTTTGAATTCTATTGGAAAAAAATATATTTAAACCATAGACACACATATACACATACATCTATATTATACACTAGACTGCTAATTTCTTTAGTTATTGTACATAAAAAAAAGGCGATTCCAACAATTATTTTCCAGACTTATATATTTTATGTTGCAGTTTTAGAACGCAGTTCAGTTCTTAGTGTAGATATCTGTAGTTCAAATCATAATATGCAAACAAGTATGCATACTTACGAATAAAATTTCAGGACTATTTTATATATAAAGACCATATAAAATCGCAAGAATGTAAAACATGTACCTCTTTTCCTCTTTTGTCACGTTAGATGACGTCGTCTTCTCGCTCGTCGCAGATACATCACTATCCGGGCTCAGGGGCATAACGAAATTCTCGCCATTTGAAATTCCTTGTGTATTACAGAAACTCGAAAGTCTTGGTTTTTTGGTTGTGAGTAACTTTCTCTTCTTGACACCATGGACATCTTCGTTGGTAGGTGAAGACAGTATCTGTTTGTGACCATCATTGTTGTTATTTGAGTTATTCACTAATAAGTCTAGTAAAGGACTGGACGAACGCTTAGGTTTGGGAAACGTCATAGATTTTGGTGCCGAGGAAACAACCTTGCCGCCTAGACTTTCTATTATATCTTCCAAAGATGAGTTTTCCACCAATTCTAAAGATTCCAAGAAACTGGAAAACTTTTCCGATCTTGCATTATCGGTCTTGAAGTAACAGCAATCCTCGTTGTCCTCGTTAACGAAAGATGTGGTTCCCATACAATCATTACGCAAATCTGCTACATTAACATTTGATCGTATACATGTTTCTATGTGCTCTTCACCTAGTGATCCTGCTTCCTCGTTGTCTCGCATCTCTGTCTTAATATCTACCTCTTCATTATTGTAATTTGTTTTTGCTCGATGATAATCCCATACTTCCATGTTCTCCATTAATGTTTTTGCGTTTTTATTCTGTTCTGTAAATTCCGATTCTTTCAAAACAGTAACTCTTCTCTGGCTCGGTGAGGCAGAAATCTCCCTCATTTGCAGATCGTCGAAATGATTTTCTACACACACGACTGCATCTTTCGACTGTGTCTTATCGTTTAAATATATCTTGGAATCATCTTTACACTTCCCTTTAAATATTAGCAAATTTTCCGCATCTTTAGTATATGTCATCGAAACAGCAGCTGAAGATGCAGAAGACAGTCGATACGAGTTGTTCGATTGCGTAACCGCTGTTCCTAGCGAAATATTCGATACAATTTCACTTAGAGATTCTCTTATACATAACTCCATATTGGATAATGTCGCTTTTTTATTATAATGGCTGTCCAGAAAATCTCTCGCACACGGATCAGCTCCTAACATTATTATTGATCTTTCGTCTAACGTTAAATTAAATTCCTTTTCGGGATAAGGCTCGTCGTATTCTTCGTCGGGAATTTCAATGATTTGAACACGTTCGTGATCCGGCATGCTCGCGAGATTGTTGGCGTCATCTCTCATTGTACTTGACTGACCCGTTTGCTCAGTTTCTTGCATAATATTCTTCTCCGTTCTTTTATCCTCTTTAACTTTCTGCTTATCCATCTGTTTCCTGATTTTCATTAATTTCTTAGCTTCGTGTACATTTTTCGCGAATTTTGGCTTTTTAATCATGATGTCACTGGAAGGTGACTTGTCGTCTTCATCACTATACAAATGTCTCTTTTTCAAAGGCAAGTTCATCTGATGCAAATCTATTTCTTCTTGCGTATCATATGCTTCATCGTTATCATCAGTTTCGATCTTCAAGTGACTTTTCTCACTAGCCGTTTGTGAACCAGTATTGTAAGACAATTTACAATTGGAATGACGCGACAATTTCATGTCATTCATTTGCATTTCTTCGACATTATCTAGTGTTTCGCTATTAGAGTTATTAACCTCATTTTCCTTCGTCAAGCTGGACGAGTCTGATTTCTGGCTAGTTGCGTTGGAATATGAATTATTGGATTGCGAAGTTTTGCTATTTGAACCATTTGATCCATCCCTGTCCGTAGAACGTCGATCATTCGAGTTTTTCCGCAAACTGGAATGATCATCCTTCGTTTTAGATTTTTTTTCATCTCTACGCTTCTTATCTTTGGATTGGCTATCGTTCTTTAAATCTTTCCTGCTATCTAGTTTATCGTTACAATCTGAAGTCTTGTTTTGAAGAGAATTTTTTGTGTTTTTCTTACCGTTAATTCTCTCGCCACTCGCTTTAACATCTTTCTTCGTATCTGCTTTTACAGTCTTATCCTCCTTCTCGCCTCTAGAAGTTCTTTTTAGACTATATTTCTCAGACTTATCCGATAGATCTGTCTTATTAGTGAAGTGAGTTTTACTTTTGCTATCTTTCGACAATCGTTTTTCCTCTCGTCTCACTTTATCTTTCATGTCGGTCCTCTTATCCTTGCTATCTGCAACTTTCTCTGCTGACGTCCTACTGTTTTTATTTTCGTGATAACTCACAGACGAATTTTTTGATGACGATGAACTTTTGTGCTCTTTTCTGTTCGACTTCCTATCTTTAGAAGAATCCTTTTTATCTTTAGTTTCCTTGTTAAGTTTGTCCTTATTTAACTTTTCTTTCTCCGTTAGTTCCTTCTTCTCTCTAAGTTCTCTAATTTTCTCTTTATAGAGATCTTTCAAATCTTTTGCTTCCTTGTTAACATTATCCTTTTTGTCCGTTTCTTTAATTTTCTCATCTTTCAATTTATTGGCGTTCTCCTTTATATTTTCCGAATTATCTTTAGTTTTCTCAAAATTATTTCTTATTTGATCAATTTTTTCTTTAGATTTACTTTTACTGTGTTTATCATATTTTATATCACTATGACTACTCACTTTCTTCTTCTCGTTACTTTTGTCTTTAGGATATTTTACGTCCTTACTGCTGATTTTTTCCTTTGTGCTCTTAAGTTTAATAGATTCATTATCCTTGGCTTTTTCTTTCGAGCTTTTATATTCATACTTATCCTTTACGCCACTGTCTGTAGCATCACGAGAATTTTCTCTAGATACACTTTTTGTACTTTTTGAATCTTTATATCCTTGAGTATCTTTGCATTTAATGAATTCAAAATTGTTTTTAACCGCTTTATTCTTAGACAAATCAAATTCCCTGATTGCTCTAAAATTGTCTCTAGTATTTTTAGCTTCATACTTATCCTTCATTGTTTCATCTTTTAATGTGTCGAGTACTGGTGTAAAGCCATGATTAGAACCAAAGTCCGTTACAATTGATAATCGAGAATCCGATGAGACTTTGCTCAGCTGAGAATCCTGATTACTACAGTCAAAATTATCCCGTGACAGTTCATTTGAAAAATCTGGGCTCTTGGACCTGTGACTCGTTAATTCCGATATTCCTGATAAGTGCGAATCGTTAGAGATGTTTGATTCATTTAGATTCATAATGTCAATTGGTTCAAAAGTCGGACTGTCTTCTTCTTCTTCATCCATTTTATCATCTGACTTACCAGATATGTTTAAATTCATATTAGCTACACTAAGAGTTTTACAAACTTCATTGAAAGTTTTCTCTTCAGAGGAAACATGTCCATTTTCTGAATTAGTGTTATCTTTATCTATATACAGCACTTTGTTTTGCAGTTTATATTCATTGCACATTTTGTCATCTTCTTTCTCATTTAGGTTGTCACTTGTATCCACAGATTCAAGAGACAAGTCTTTTAAGCTATTTTTATCAGATTCTGGTGAAACTGGATCCAGATCTTTGGGTAATAAATCTTTAAGACCACAGATATCATTTTTCTCCTTTGCTTTTGGTTTCTCTATACCTAAAAACTTATAAACTACATCTTCTATTTGTGGCATAAAAACTGAATAAACTTTGGGATTTACTACTTGATCCACTATTCGCTCTACACCAGCATCCAGATATGGTGCATCGTGTATATGCTTGCGCAAAGTTTCCCTGAGTTGATTCTTGTTTAGATCTGGCTTCCATGTTTGTTTACTAAGGAATGAGTTTACAGAACCTTCAACCCGTGTCCTTAGATTTTGATATGCTGGCTAAAATTACATATATTACTATATTATTTATTTAAATATTACTTGTGCAATAAGATATAATAATATAATAGAAACATCTTTTAAAAAACCAGCTGATATTGTATCTTTAAAGACATAATCTTTTCGCAGTTAATGAAAAAGATAAAATAATTATAAAGGTTTTTTATGTAAAATGTCACATAATTTCAGAAATATATATCTTGTTATATTGACGAGCGATAAAAAACTGCTACATTGACACTTATGATCGAAATTTATATTTAATATTATATAACAATATAAATTTAATTAACTCTGAATAAGTCAAGAGGAAACTTCGGAATTTATTATGCAAATGTTATCGTTGTCAAAATTGGATCTACCTTTGTATCAACATCAGCAATACATTCTTTGCGAAATTGATCAAAGATGCCTTGAGATTTAACTTCGCCTACTATATGATCAATCAATCGTGTATCACCAGCTAACAACGTGTTAGGCAAATCTAACTCCATGTCATCCAAAACATCGAACAGAGTCAAATTTTGACCATCAAAAAATGGAAACAATTACTATTCACGGATAATATTCACTCTCAAGATTATTTCTAAAACAACACGCAGTCACTGTTTCTTCACATTTAGGGTGCGTTCGGGAAGTCGCAATTTAGTGCTACTGCGTCCTTCAATCCTTGTTATACGTGTAAAGCCCATATCAGACTACAGAGGGTGCGTTCTATATAACGATCGCAACGCCCAAATCGTCTTTTGCACTGTTCCACTTAAGCCTGTTCAACAATACGCCGTATGCCGGAATACGGATGTCAGAACGCAACCAATGGTCCGATAAGGAGAACTCATTTTCGAAAATTGAATTCTCTCATTAGAACATCGGTTGCGTTCCAACATTCGACTTCGGCATACGATGTATTATAGAACAGGCCTGACGCTCACGACGTTCACTGCGTACCGTTGTAATTAGTTTTATAACTAGCTTCCTAACGCTCACAATGCCCGCGTTAGTGTCGGTCTACAATAGGTTTTTTAAGTCTTAAGAAATTGATCAATCACAATTAATTATTTTGTTCACATTCGACTGTGATTGGTCAATTTCTTAAAGCCGATTACGGATAAAAGATTGAGATTGAATTGAAATTTGACCAATCAGTTCACTAAATTTCACTAAATTTAAATTCAGTTAACTTTGCACTGATTCGCCAAATTCAATTCAATCACAATCCCCAATCTATAGTTTGATATGGACTTAAGGTTTAAGGCTTAGAATACATATTGTGGACCGACATTTATGTCCGTACCAGACTACGGCCGTTATTCATAGTCAGATTATATCATAGGTCGGTATTCATAGTCGGCTCTTATATTTCAGACCGTCTCTAAGTTTATCTTTAGATACTTCGTGACCAATGAATGAAATGAATTGTAGAGCATTTGAAGATAAACTTAAAAGAAGAATCCGACTATGAATACCGATCTATAGATTAGGATTGAAATTGGATTTCAATTTAATCAACAAGAACAAAGTTCACTAATTTCAAGTTTAGTAAATCTTGCTCTGATTGGCCAAATTTTAATTCAATATCAATCCTAATCCCAAATATAATATGGGCTTTAGAGAGATGGGTCGACGTGAGTGTGACGTCATCAGATGGCCATATTGGTATTACTCATAGAGATATAAGAATAGAGGGAACAAGGGATATATGCTACCTGTAAGTGGAAGTGATAGAGGCAAAGAGAGAGATGGATGCCGAGTGTCCTATCTATCTCTTTCTAGTCACGCGCTGGGATTGGCTGCCGCGCCAACGACGATGTTTCTATACATTTTTCTCCATCCAATTCAAAGAAATTGTCATTGCTAAAATGATCACTGCAAATATATGCTGTTTTCACTTCAAAATACAAAGTTAGTTGAAGTATATTCAATCATTTACGCCTTATATCTACATCCTTCGGTAGCCTACACATTTACATATTTTTTTAAATGTAGGAAAAAATAACATATAATTATTTGAGGTTACGTATTTGTACTTTCTTACGAGTGAAAACTGCGGTTACATTTAGGATAAGACTCCGCCTTGCATTTCAAACAATGCCTCATTTTTAATCAAATCGCGTTCAATTATTATTTTGTTAACGTTCGAATATTTAACGAATTTTAATTCTACACACATGTGCACGCATATTTACAAAACGAAATTTTAGTCTGCTTTCTCCCCTCCTGACGTCGCGTGGTCGTCTTGGCGGCTCATTGTAACAACCAATCACAGCGCTCAACTAGAAAGAGACAGATAGGACACTCGGCATCCATCTCTCTCTTTGCCTCTATCACTTCCACTTACAGGCTTGTTCCCTCTATTCTTATATCTCTATGGCTCCAACTGATAAATCATATAGGGAATGGTTTCGACGTTTCGAGAATGGTGATTTCAACGTTGAAAACAAGCCTCGCTCTGGACAGCCAAAAAAATTCGAAGACAAAGAATTGGAGGCATTACTCGATGAAGATCCGAGTCAAACGCATCGGGCCATCGGTATAGGCTACAATTGATTCGTTTGAGCCGTGCATTATGAGAAAAACGGCCGGAATACGAGCAAAGACATGACAAAGTTATTCTTCTGCATATGATAACGCTCGGCCTCATGTCGCAAAAGTCGTAAAAAATTATTTGAAAACGCTTAAATGGGATATTTTACTGCACCCGCCGTATTCGCCGGACATTACTCATTCTGATTACTGGTTGTTCCGACGGATGCAGCACGATTTGGCAGGTCACCGGTTTACTTTTTTCGCAGAAATCGAAAATTGGCTCCTAACTTGGATCGCCTCAAAAGACGAGACATTTTTTCGAGATGGAATTCGAAAATTGCCTGAGAGGTGAGAAAAAGTAGTAGCCAGCGATGGACAATATTTTGATTAATCTGTTCATTCATTTTGTTCTGAAATAAATGCATTTTTGACTACAAAAAAACGGACCGAACTAATTTGTATTCCCAAGTAAGTATCTAACTAAGTAAGTATCCTCAGGTGTTAGGATAGAAGGACTTTGATCACAGATTGCGGTTGCGCAAGGACAAGCTCTAACTATATTTTTAAATCATGGAGATTACTTATTTGTTATGGTCGCTCAGTCTGAGATTGTAACTGCTGCGCGAAAATCGCGAAAAATACAAAACTATCTACAAACAGGGTACGTGTAATACGTCAGTATATTAACAGAAGATGGTAATTATTTAGTTTAGCTACACCAGCACAAATATAGATGAAATTATATGACGCGTTTTTGCACGAAACGAAAGTTTATCGGCTGCCGGGTCGCTTCTTGCCTCGCGGCAAGCATTTCTGCGTTCTGTGGGCAGAACGCTGTTAATCTGCACACTGTGTATGTACTCGAACGCAGCAATGGTGGATTTAGTGAGATCTAGTAATACTGCGCTTTGATTGGTACATTGCTAGTATGTTACTAAATCCGTTACAAAAACTAGCACGGTGTGTCGGAGATTTTAAGGACGCGTCTTTAAGTGCGTTCGAGTTGATGCTATTTAACGCTACCGCGTCATTCTATCTTTATTACTCTTTATACGCACAACGAAGATAAAATGACCCGGTAGCACTAAATATCTTCTCCTCGAACGTACCTTTAATCGGCCGAAAACAATATTATACGAGACTGGTGCCCTCTCGTGTACTCTGTCATTATTAACAGGAAGGAAAGTTGAGAACGGGACGTTGCGTCGTCTTTCGCACTCTATACGTTCGGGAGGTAACATTTCTTTTAACTTGGGTTCTTTTGGTTATATCCGCGGTGTCGAACCGTTATCGGTGAGGCGATTGAGTTTCAATCACGCGGAATCGGGCTTGAACGAACGAAAATACAAGAATATTTTGCGCGAGTCAGATTCTGTAAAACCATCTCTTATTTCTGCTGCCTGTATTTTCTATATATATATATATATGTATATAAAGGCAATAATCTCGTGTCAATACCACGTACATAATGTGATATTTATTTGCGTTCTCATTTCCTTGAGCCTAGTGCACGTTCGTCGGTCATTAAGTTTGGATAAATAAATTAGAAATATCGATATAATGAATAATGAACTCTTATTCCAGAATCCAAGATGAAGTATAATAGGTTGGTCTCCTCCTCACGCAGGAAGAACAGGAAGAGGCACTTCACGGCACCCTCGCATGTTAGGAGGCGGCTCATGTCCGCCCCGTTGTCGAAAGAACTACGGCAGAAGTACAATGTGCGCTCAATGCCGATCCGCAAGGATGACGAAGTACAAGTAAGACGATCATCATAGGAGAAGGGCTGAGAGAAATTTGGAGTGTATGAATTGCTTATAATATGCATATAACCTTCTTGAAGGTTGTACGTGGACACTACAAGGGCCAACAAGTAGGCAAGGTAGTCCAGGTATATAGGAAAAAATTTGTCATATACATCGAGCGGATTCAACGTGAAAAGGCAAACAGTGCAAACGTATATGTTGGTATTGATCCTTCTAAGGTAAGAATTATCATTGTTTGCTTTCAGTAAAGAAAGCTTAGTGAATATATTTTCTTGGGCCTAAAAAAATGCTCTAGTCAAAGAATAATTACTAAATACTAAATGTTGAATTACTTTCTCTGCTGAACACAGCCATTAATAGCGTATATTGTATGCATTCAATATTACAACTGCTTACTAAGCTTTTAAACCTAGTCAAGTCTGGATCGATAGTAGGTGTAGTAAGTCTTTTGTTTATAGTAAGCTTTTTGCTTTAAGTAATGAAGTTTAGCATAATTTCTGACGAGAGATGTTTCCTATACTACCAAAAATTATAATGCTTAAATTTTAGGAATTGTGGTATCTGGTAATGCTAGAAATGTTTTTGGCTAAAAATCACATTACAATTTAATGTTTAGAGCAAAATGCTAAAATCTTAGTACACTTATTGCAGATCCAAGCGTAATGTTCTTGGATTTGATCTTAAAGTATAAACCAAGCAGATCCAAGCCTTAAGTTCACTAAGAACTCAATAAATATCTTCGATTCGTGTACTAGATGTTTCCCAAAGTGCTCACAGTGAATGGGCGCTTTTTTTTTTTGTAAATATAATGTCACTATATTTTTATATAAGAAATATGAAAATGAAATTTGATCGACTTTTTACTGGTAAATTGTACCTTTTATCATAAATGATAATATAAATAAACATCTTAAGACTCCGGAATAGTCGCTGTAACTGTCCTTTAGTAACGTCAGAAACGAAAAAACGCATGCAAAAATTGTTTGCATTATACTTTCAAATAAAAAAATGACCACATTCAACATCTTTTTATTAACGATTACTCCGGAGCCTTAATTATTTTTTCACTAGTTCTTAAATGGTAAATTTCCATGTGGCACTGGAGACTGTAAGCATATATATGTATGTACGTATATATGTACACACACACACACACACACACACAAAAAGCTGTTCCGATATTTATTACTATTGCTAAAAATTTATAGCTCATGTTACACATATTAGATATTCTCAGTACTGGACGTGAATATCAAAACGCAGCCTTAGTACATGAGAACCATTTGTTCGGCATTCACGAGCAGCTGCTTAATAATTAAATGCTCATTAAACGGTAGTAACATTGGATACGTTCATAAAAAAAAAAAATGTATATTAGAAATCCTCAAGTTTGTTTCTCGACCTCTATGATGATATAAACCATTCACATAGGTTTAGACACAGCTTGACTTGGAAACTATATACAGGGTTCTCCTGTACGTTAGTTAAGAGTCTCGCTTGGTCTAATCGTTGCAGAAGAATTGGCACTGATTATATGATCTGTTTTTTTTCAAAGAAGATTTTTTTTTATCAAATTTAACTTGAGACTGTTTTAACGTTTCAGACGGTTATCGTCAAGTTGAAGATGGATAAGGATCGCAAGAAGATTATCGACAGACGAAGTAAAGGTAGACTCGCTGCACTGGGCAAAGACAAAGGAAAATACACAGAAGATGTGACAGCTGCTATGGAAACATCATGAATTCTGATATTTTTCTTTGTGTTTACGCTAATAAAAAAATGTTAAAACCAAAATCACCGTTGTTCCCTTTCATCAAAACATCTTTATATATTTTATGCAATGCGTCAAAAGCATTTTAATATCTCTCACAGAGAGGTACCTAAATAAAAATACGAATTTATTATAGTCACAGAACTAGGTTACATCATAACGATAATGAAAAGATCAACGGCGCGAGCGACAATTTCCGTGTAATCTATAAACAATAATATGTAATAATATCTTTGCTTATTGCTTCAAAATCGCGAGAGCTCGCAATATATGCAAGAATAAGTTGATTATATCTAAGTATATATTAATCGTCGCCAGGATATATTCTTCAGCCGAGAGAGTGTGCATTATCATTTGCGTGTCGAAGACGATAAATAAGCAGAACAAGAGTGCACCACCGATACTTAGGGCCAACTCTAATGCGGTACTGTGAGCGAAGATCTGTATGAAACCACCAATCAAGAGGCACCACAGCCCGATGAATAATCTATAAAAAGAGCAGTATGTAACAGTGATTGAAACTAGTCCGCTTCGAAGCATTTTCTTATATATAAAATTTCATGTTATCACGTAGTTAGAATGCAAGATTTGTAAAGTTACTTTTGAAGAGTAACACATTGTTGTCACGTCATCACTACACAAAAAGTAACGAGTCGTTACAAATTCTATTTGTTCGTCAAAAATTAACATTCTTCTTTAGAAATTTTCATCATTCCATGTACGAAATAGCAATAAAATAACGACTGTATTCATTACTGCTACCTAAAAAATATAATTGCTTCACCGTTACTTATGAAACAAAAAAGGATGTCAACAAGTCGTGGAAAAGGTAATTCAAGAAATATGCGAAACACCTCTCAAAATATAAAGCCTCGTCTACAATGCGGTCACAGAAGAATCATGAGTAAGATGATTTACTTCAAGCTGCAAATGCCTCGAAACACAGTATAAACTAATCATATTCTTTGTTTAAACGCTCCAAAATGTTTGCAGCTTCAAGTGAATCCTATATACAGCTCTCGTACGGGCCAGCATTGTACATGAAGCTTAACACGATATTAAGAGCCAACAAAGTGCAGTTGTTAAGTACTTATATTTAATACACTATATAAAATACTGGAATGTCTATTTATTATACGTTCATTTATACTGGAACAATATTGTATATACAAGATCTAAACATTTTTTTTTTTTTCATTAGATCTCATCCTGCGAAAATAATCAGGGTGAACGATTAAAATGAGACATCCTATATAATTAAATACAAATGCCATCTTTGTTGGCTCTTAATGTCATATTATTATATTTTGAAGAGAGTAATTTGTAACAATAATGACGTTATAAATAACGCATTACTTTCCAAACCAGTTTTGGAGCATTTAACGGGCCTTGCCTCGTGGGATTTATCTTTCATATAAACACCAAAGTTTATGTGACAAACACACTCACCCAAATCCCATAAATGAGAAGTCTCGTTTTGTTTGGAACGTATAAGCTGTCAAGGCAAGAAGGACTGTCAGTGTTATGAATAGAGCCTCCAAGACTAGTGAAGTGTCATACATGGATACCACAACACCGATAGTGTATGACTGCACCAAAGTCTACAATTTTTAACATATTTTTTTGCAAATATTGCATCACCAGTCAGAATAAATTTCCCTTATACTTACAAATATAACCAGGAGAATCAAATTGGCAGGATGATCCTTTCTTTTGAAGAGCAAACCAATCAGTACACCTATTGTCAGGACACATGCCAAGCCCAAAGTCCATAAACTAAATCAGGTAATAAATCGATGATTTTTATCAACCAACTTATTCGTATGTAAAATAGATACTTGTGGTCTTACTTGTCTTGTACATATAATTTCACAGTTGAGCTCATCATAAATACAGAACCTACTGCAACTGTCATCAATAGCTGTATACTTAATAAACCATATACTTTTCGCAAGAAGCCTGAGGAAATTATAATGTTGGTAATTATTAGAAACTTAATATAACACTGATGTTTTCTAAATACAATGATATCGGCACAAATTTAATGAATATCATTTTATATTAATATATTAGTTCAGAAATCCTGCAAAGTCGACGAAATACCCATTCGTATGCTGATTGTTGCATTGTGGACACTGTTGTTGTATGCAAAGTCATTTTGTATCTCATGTTCAGGTTGTTCCTTGCCACCTCGTTCAATATCTTCCTCAGCCAAAATCAAGGGCACGGCAGCCATTTTTTAAATTTCCGTGTACAATCTGCAATAACAATGACAAATATGAAAATTCAACAAAACATCGGAAGAAAATTGATTTCCGTATGTCACGCGGAAAATTTTAACCGAGAATATCGATGATCTTCTATGTGGAATCAATAAGGGCTATTTTTATTCTTGAGCAAATAAAATTTTATGATCGGAATCAATGACAGCCATATCCGAAATTTTCGCGAAAATGCACATGACCATCGATGAACTTACTTTGATTCTTCCTGATCGTTCTGCAGAATTTTGAATAGTGAAATTTAAAAAGCCAAGTTGCATGAACGTCTAATTATTTGAATAACTGTCAACAGCTTGACATTGTTGTCGTATTCAAAATCGATCAGATGTGGACGGGGCGTAGATTCGTGTTGCAGTTATCTGACACAGCGTCATCTGAGCACATATGGGTGCGTTCAGAAATCCTACTCGACGAGTGTTGCTAGATACTTCCAGACTCAAGCCGCCAATTTTTCTTAAACCCACTAGTCCAATCAATCTGTCGCGGCCCCTATGTTAAACGTGACAAAATTCCAACCCGAAAACAAAAAATAGGATCGTATAGGAAAAAAAATTCTAAAAAACATTTTTATTTCATGAAACTCGAACCCAATTGGCGAAATTGGCGAAAAAAATTCGCAAAGTTTGAAAAAACGGTTTTCCGAAGATAAAAAAATTATAATTCCGATCAAAAAAAAGTTTTCGAGAACGCCTTTTTATCGCAAAATCAAAATATCTCGAAAACTAAAGATTATTTTTCAAAATTCGAAATTTGTACTTATTCTACTTGCTACGAACTATATTTCCATCAAGTATCGAGTGGATATATATAAAATTAAAAAAGATATAGCGAAAACAAAAAAATGCTATTTTCGACGGTTTTTTCGATATATCTCGATAATTTACATCTCGATCGAGACTTACAAATAATTAATTGAAAGGTCTTTTTATTACCTACAACTATGTCATTTACTTTTTTTTTATCGGAGTTTTAGTTTTTTTATCTTCGGAAAACCGTTTTTTCAAACTTTGCGAATTTTTTTCGCTAATTTCGCCAATTGGGCTCGAGTTTCATGAAATAGAAATGTTTTTTAGAATTCTTTTTCCTATACGATCCTATTTTTTGTTTTCGGGTTGGAATTTTGTCACGTTTAACATAGGGGCCGCAACAGATTGATTGGACTAATTCCCAGAAGCACTCGTCTTGTCAGATAGAAGGATTTGTATCCACTTTCTCTTCTTTAGAATTATTCCATCATTTCGTTGGAACAAAATGGATGATACCGGGAGTAAGTTTCGCGCGTTCGTCACGATAGGACAGTCGCTTGGCATAGTATCTCGTGAAATCGACCGTTGGCGCCACCGACCAGTGTTGAGCCAAGATGGCGAACGGTTCGAATCGTCGTTCTCGATCCGACGGCCGGGTTTCGCGCGTCCAATATCATCAGGAGTGCCGAAAGTGAGTTTTGCACGTTTGAGCCTGAGTACTAAGCTATCGTAAACGTTTCCAAAAGTTGTAAATATATGTCAGAGTTCAAGTCAACGTACAATGATCGCGACCAACATGAGTTTTATCCATCATATATTTGCGTTCGTCTCGATCATTGTGCGTTGACTTGCAACTCCGTATGTTTACTACTTTGCCGGAAACGACAGTCTTGTGCTCAAACTCTTTTTCGGAGTGAAACATCGTTGGGTAGCTGCGGACTATGGACCTCATGCGAAATGTATCATCAGGAATGCCGAACGCAGCATCATATATGTATGTCGCAGTATGGCGGTTGGAAATTCATACTGCCGTTCTTACGGAGGAGACGGTAAGTGTCGATAAAGTAGGGCATGCTGAAGTAGGACATGCAATTATCCTAAGAATTCTGCATTGTCGAGCCGTATCGGCGAGGGGATAATGCAGAAAATGATATTTACTTGCAGCGTAAGATTCTCAGGAGACGTGATTTTCTGTTATATCGGCGATAAATGTATCTTTTCGTGAGAAAGGGATAGTTCATACTTTATTTTTCGTTCATAAACTCTCACGTATTCACGCAAACAGAGCGGAGGGTATACAGATTAAACTGTTTATTTTGTCAAGTTATAAATCACAAATGACTTTACAATTACATCATAAAAATATATTGGAGATCTTCAAAAAGCTTTGTCAATCCATTAAACAAGATTCTCTCTTTCTTTCTTTCTTTCTCCCGATATTTATAAATCCCATTTTAACCCAATTAAATATGCTTAATATTAAGAGGTTATACCCTATATACGTTTAATAAATAACAGAGATTTGGCGAAAGACCCCGGGAAATGATCGATCAGTCTACTTTTTTCTTGAAGAAGTCCTGGCTGATCACTGCTCGCCAACACCATTTCTTGAGTCCGTAAATTATCAGAATTACGCTTAACATATAAAATATCGCGACATCCAGGCTGTAATAATGCATCATTCCCATGTATCTGAAACATTGTGCGTACAATCAACTCGATTTCTTTTACGGTCACATAAGGGGAGGGAGGGGGGGTACGCACAATAATAGTAATATAAACAGACATATTACCTGGTTGAGCTCTTCAAATGATCGGCTCCACCGTGCTTGGCTACGTGTTCCACCCACCACGTGGCCAATTCTCTAGGTCCGATCGGAAGGTCGCGCAGCAATGCGCTCCTCTTCTTAGCCGCCTCTCTGTACGAGTTATTATGAAGCGTAGCGACTTTGAGTATACCGTCACGAAGCGCGCCAATTGATATACCGGCCAAATCCATCACCAGGGTGTAGCCCAATTTTTCTGTATCAGATCAATTTGCGAAGCTTCAACGAGTGTCGTCATATTTCCGTCGAAACAACATCTATAAATATTTATTTCGCCAAATGTCTAGTTTATTCTCTTTTCACTCTGTTTATTCACGAGAGAACGTTTAATTCGCGAATTTCATAGTCGGAGAGAAATGTTGGAAATGAAGGCTGCTGATTAACATATACCATTCACGCGCTTGTTCAAATCATTATATTCTTTCTATTCTCTATTCTATTCTCGTATATCGTATTCTACGTTAGAAAAAACAGAGAGAATACTCTCGCGGGTGGTATTGTTTGCAGTTTGTATCTATCACATCCTCCTATCATTTTAACTTTAACCCTGATAAAAATTTCATATATTTTTTAAACAGTTATTAGATATGTTAATTTCTGTCTAGTAACTGATAAGTAAAACTATTTGGGATCCCGGTTATAATGTAACGCTTTTCCCACAGTTACTAAGCACGAAAGATATGCAAAATCTGAACTTATTCATTGAACAAAATAAGCAAACCTGCTGCTCATGAAATTGTGCAGTTTTCCCCCCAAAATAACCCTGAATATAACTCTATCAAGTTCTTGTCCATTTCTTACGTAGTATTGTTAAACTAATGAGAATGCATTAATATTACACGGAAAAAGGAAATAGCTTCCGAAACTAAAAACTAGCTCCCACAGGTAAAAATGAGCTACCTATATGATACAACTGAAATTTAGTTAACTCAGCTAATCATTTTGTCTCTGTATCTAATTTTTAGTTCCCACAGCTAAAAACTAGATCTGGTAACTAAATTTCAGTTGTACTATATGGACAGCTAATTCTTTTCTTCCGTGTAGATAGTAACAGGATGAGTGCCTAGAAAAACTGCATACATTTCTACCAGAGAATCACGCGATTCCGTTTTTACGCTCACGCGTCCCGTTTATATTGTTCTTCGAAAGCGAAGCGCTCTCCTGTCGACATTTATTCCAACCACTGTGCCGTTGAAGGCCGCAGTATACGGGACAAAAGAAAGAATTACCAGCTTGGGCCGCGTTGCCATCGTGATCGCAAAAGACAGGTAGAACCAGTGTCGGTACACCGTGATAAGCCGCTTCGTGCAGGGATAACAGTCCGCCGTGGGAAACAAAGGCGCGCAGCTTCGGATGACCGAGTAGCTCCTGCTGCGGCCACCACGCGCCCGTCCTCACGTTCGCCGGTAGATTCTTGATCTTGCCACCTTCCCACTTCCAGACGACGTTGTACGGTAGCGTGGAGAAGACCGTCACGAAGATCTGCCGTAGAGCCTCCGGCATTCCGGAAGCTCGTACCGACGATCCCATCGAAACGAACACGAAGCCTGCAAGTTTATTTAACGTTCCCCGCTAGAGACGCGCCTTCAATCCGAGACTCTTATTCCATGTTTGCTAACCGTGCGCGAGTCATCGAAAGAGAAGAGGTAGCGGAAACGCTCGGTGCGAAGCGACCGCAATTCTGCACCTCATACTATCCTGAGACGCACTTGCCTGATTTTAACAACGATGATATTTCATACGTTCGTGTTGAAAAGAATCGTTGAATGTGACAAAATGAAAGTAGAGGAAATAGTTTGCGTAACAATTTAACAATGGTGATACAGTGAATGAAAGAAGTGCTTAAGTTCAAGTAAATATTTGCTAAAGAGGAGTAATTATTTTGTTACTTGGATTAAATAAAGATTATTTGAATACAGTGCTGTTTTCTTTAGTGTACTACATTCAGGTGATATTAATTTAATCCAAGTAAAATAATTACTCGAATATACTCATTGGCAAATATCATTTGAATGTAGCATTTGTTTTTTTTCAATGTACCATCATTAAGAAATTATTACGCAGATTATTTCTTCCGCTTTCATTTTGTTACATTTCACGATTCTTTTCAACACAAGCGTATCAAAGACGTGAAATATTATTATCATTGTTAAAATATCGATAGGTTAAAATCGATGTAATATGAATTTAGAATTATTGTTTTTTTGTTTCTTAAATTAAAATGAAATCAAAAGTATATTAACATATTTCTAGCTTCAAAATTAAAGTTCATGATACGATAATATGAAAGCTTAAAGTATCATTCGGATCTCGAATAATTTTGCTTCGCAGTGGAAAAGTTTTACCTTCTGACGGGCAGTTGTTAATTAAATTACAAGTAGGAAGAAATAGAGGAACGGTAAGCGAGCGGAGCAGGGAAATTCGCATGCGAAATTACCGCGTTGCAGGAAAGAGTCCAGATCGGAACTTAATTGCATCGCTGGTCTGCAATGAAGGCACGCCACGTTCACGACGTTCGACATGTACGGTACGGAATCTCCCACGCTGTAATGACTGTTCTGCAATGTCAAGGGGACTTCTTTCGTCAGACTGTACAAGTCGGGTATTTGGTTACCTGTAAGCGAAATAATATCGTGGTCATTAACCCTTTCGCGGCGAACAGCGCCTTTAGGCGCTCAGCTATAGATGCTCATTCTCAGCGAACAGCGCCGTTCGGCAAATTTACCCGCGGTGAACGAACAGCGCCAGATCCGGAGCCGCTCTCTTCGTACGAAGGCGCTGTTCGTTTGTTATCAACAACTGCCATTAATGTCCATTAAGTTGTTTTTGACGTGCTAGCAGCATACGCTTCTTGTGCAAAGGTTTTTTTTACATAGTCAAATATTATATACACACTGCGTTCGGAACGACTCGCGTATTTGGTCCGCGCGGTCGATCTGGCATCGGCTGTTTAGAGCGCAACTCTTTCCAGAGCACTCCGCCGCGAAAGGGTTAAATTGCGAGCGTCTGGTCATGAATAAACAGTCTCTCGAGTTCGCGTCTTTTTCTTTTCTTAACGTGTGAAAAGTAATTCGATCTTCATCCTTGAAAATCGACGGATTGCGAAACGCAAAGTTGACTTGGCGCTCACCGAGATATCTCTGTAGAGTCGGTCGCAGAAAGACCGTAAGCGTGAACCAATGCATTAGATTCATGCCAAATAGGACCGCCGCGTTTAGGACCCTCTGGAAGAAAGTCATGTCTTGCGTAACTGGTCCGCCGAAGAACGGTGTCACTGACCACGGCGACGGGTTGCCTTGTTGCGCGATGGATACGCTGTATAACGCGACCTGCGGCAGATAACATCGTACCTCTATCATTAAGAGTACGTAAATTGAGCTTAGAACGACAAGCGTGCGGAGAAAATCGAGAAAATCTCGATTTCTCGGTCTGGCCTCGATCTCAGTTGAAAATAGAATAAAATTCCGAATCGCTGGACTTATCGATCATCGCGCATTATTAACGACGCATTAAATACAGATAGATGGTATGAAAAACAGCCATAAATTGATAAGCAATGGAGCGAAGATGTCATGATAAAAACAGAATGAACGATGTTTAACTTGTGTATCAACCGTATTACGCAGGTTTACAGCAGCGCGAATCGATCTTTGCGGCTGATTACCGTGTTCAGCATTATCGTCGGTACGTTCTCGCCGTGGAGGATCGCCAACAGGCACTCGGGATAAGCCCCGTCGAGTACCGCGACGTCCCATCGGCGGTGCGGGTCGCCGTTCGGTCTTCTCAGGCCGGCTATCGACGTTGCGTCGTGTAGCAGCGAATCGCACGACTTCCAGGCGTATCTTATAACGTCCCACGGTGAAACCGGAAACTCGTTCCTGAACCGAGCGCCCACCAGATCCCACTCGGAAGTGAAATTTTCTACATAAGCCTGTCGTGACATGAATATATGCTTTAAGCAAATGCGCGGACAGCCTCGTAGTTGGATTACCGTTAGATTAAATTCTAATCCCACGAGTTCCTTGCAATCGTAAAATTCGCAAGTTTGCCGAAATCATTCAATTTTGAAGATCGTTTCGCGGAAAAATTGACGGTAAATATATCGCGAATTTTATCGAACTTGCGAGTCTTAAGCTCTTATTTACTTTGATTATTTAAGAATTTGTTGAATATAGTTTCAAAGTTTTGGAAAAACCCGTTTTTTCCCTTTTTTCTGCGGATTTCTTCAGTTTCTGCATCAAGGGTACAACCATTTTAGAAGAAAAGCCTAAAAGATCAGATACGAAATTCATTTAGAAAAATTCGCATGTGTTCGGTTAGAATCCGCTACATTTACTTCTTTCCGTAAGGAAGATAAGAAACCAAAAAATTCCGCGGAAAAAATGGAAAGGAAACGATTTTTTTTTTTCCGAAACTTTAAAACTATATTGAATATTGAATATTTGCATCGTCGTAAATCTCTGAAAAGAAATATTTCATGCCGAGAGTTCGTAATATCCTCTTTTACAAAGACAGATTTGTTTGCGCTTTCTATAAAGCCATATATCTCCGATAACATGGCTTCAGACTTTACCGAACCGCGAAAATTACAGATTATTTGCTTGGCTCGTTACGCATGTACATTCATTAACGATTTCCTTTTCATATGCTTATTCGTTTATCCTTATTGTCGACAATTATGAGAATTTATTTTACATACGGCATATTATATCACGGTCAGAATATTAAATTTCTGAAGGAGGAAACGATTTTGTGACATACGACGTTGCTGCAAATAATTTTTAATTAATGAAGATACATATTTAACGCTTAAATATGATAAGATTTTTCATAGTAAAACATGAAAGCTCTCGAACGAATTCAGCAGTCGTTCGTCAAAAGACGACGTTTGCACTTAACGTTCAGAGAAATTTGCAGAGGGGCAAAGTGCTTTAATAAATTTAGCAGTTAAAGGTGCGGATATAATCGCCACAGGAAGGAACGTATAATACATATAAGGGGCTACGGAGGAGCGGAGGTCCGAAAAAGGAGCCAGTAAAGCGGAGTATCGCGTGCACGGGCGGGCGGGTGTGATAAATTATGGTGTGTAATAAAATTAAACAGGGATAAAGCAACTCGATTAGACGGTAGAGGAGGCGGAGACGACGGGAGAGCGGGAATGCGATGGCTTGCGGTAGTTTCGGGGACCACGGTTTTACCAGGCGAAGGGTACGATGAGAGGGACGCGTGCGCTCGTGGTAGCTCGTAAATCACCTCGAGAATGGACGGCACCAGTTCGTGAAGACCATTATTCGCCGCTGGACCGGAGAAAGCGCTCAGCAGCGTGACGTTGTGACCCCGCGACCTCAGGCTCGTACCGAGAGCGACGAAGGGCACCGTATGGGACTTGGTGCCACCCATGGTGGCCAGCAGAACGTTGTATCCCGGCGAGGCCTGGATCATCATCAGGAAGATGCCCAAGAGCAGGACGAGTCGGTGCGCGACGACGAGGCGCGTCATCCTCGCGATGATAAAGTTCAGCGTTTTCACCTTTCCTTCTTCCTGTCCTCTTCTTACGAACGGCGAGAGCACACGAGAAAGCGATGTACCCCTCAGTGGAAGAGGACAATCGTCCGACGGTCTGGCATCATTTTCTCACCGCGTACAATCCTCGTCACGCTCGATCGCCCCGTCACGAAAGCTCTTTGTGCATCGACGAAGCGAGAAACTCCGTGGAGCCGTTTCCGGTCGGGTAACCGGGATGACGACGGGACAGCCCTTACGCTCCAATTCGCTGGATCCAGCACCGATGGATCAGGTCGGCCTGCGAGAGCGCGTCGCACGTTGCTGCCAGGCCACGAGTCTTCGACTGCCGGCCGGTTTCATTCGCATCCCTCCTTCGTGTTCCTCGCGTTTTGTGGAATTACGTCTCGCTAAACGGATATAATCGAGACGTAGGATGACCGGATTTGTGAGCTGCTCGTCTTTTGGTCACGCTTTGGAAGAACGAGTCAGACACATTATCATTCTAATCATTATCATTCTAATGGTCGTCCGAAAAGAAGACGGCTTGCGGCCGATAAAATGTACGAGACCAGTCGGGCCGAGGAAGATGGATCTCCACACCACGTGTTGCGCTCTTTTCAATTCTTATTTGTTTCCGGCGAGCGATGCTTCAATAGAGTCTCCTTGATCTTCGTGCCCTCGGTCGAGTTTATTTGTCGAACTCGTGGAATATTTTTGCAACAGCTTCTAAATGCGCAGAACGATTGCGGACGGACTCTTCGAGTCGGATCTGCGAGCGAAGAACTGACCGTAAATAATTTCGTCTGGCCCCTTTTTAGGCGGGAATATACAAATTAGCGAAATTGCGTTATGAAATAATTCTGACGGCCTTCATGAATGTGCTCCCCTTTCGATATTTTCTGGCGCAAACGAGTTTTGGTTATCAGATTACGCGAATTTACGTAATAAGCGATCAAGCGGGTTTTCTCGATGTTTTCTTCTAGTAACAGGAATGTTTTACACGGCAGAGAAGTTTCACGAATTTTAAGAAACTGAAACTTTATAAATTCGTACTTATCAAGCAACAGCGATCATTAACTGCTAGGAAGTATTTAAAATTATTATTTTTATCAGGCAATGTTATTAACGCTAAGGTCAATTGAGCATAATTTGTCTTGCGACTTTATGAAAGTCATGCTTACTATATCCGCAAAGTCCAGGAACTAGGCAAGGCTATCGAAGGGATATCTTTCACTTCTGCGGAAACGCAATATTTCCATTGGGGAAATTTGTCCGATCGATCCCTCTTTATCGCCGCGAACCATCGACGCAAGAATAAGTACCTGCGCACTATTTCACAGAGTATATCCGATCTAAGCGTTTCCGCAAAATCCTTTCGCTCCTAATCACTCTCGAGCATTCTTACCCAGCGCGATCCCATTTATCTTCCTTTCTGCAATTTGTTCGAGCAATTCCCGCTCTCAAGTACCGCGACTTCTCTTTCGGTTCGCAACATTCGTCCGAGGAGGGCAGGAACAATAGTTCCAAGACGCTCGAGACTGTTTAAACCGCCTCCTTCCCTGCCTCCCTCCCGCCCTCCTTCAAGAATCTACCGCGACGTCACGTGTCGAAATTCGAACGTTGGGGCCGCCCGTCATTTTCGCTCGAATGTTTTTCCCTTTCTCCTCCGGCCAAGAGAGGATCTCTTGATCTTGCCTTTCCGTTGACCTTCTTTAGCAGTTCGCGATTCTCGACGGGAATATCGCGCGCCAGTCCGCCCGCTGATCTTCAAACCGCCGGCGACTTTCACTAATAACGCTGGCTTCATACACACTATCACCCGTCGCTTTAATTCGATTTTGAGAGGATCGGTGCCGCTTCCTGTGTCAGGTTTCTCGTACCATCAGGAAACTCGTCCTCGCGCAGACAAGTATCATTTTCGACCGCGCGGACGGGTAGCGTTACGTGACGAGCGAATCATTTCAAGCCGAATTTGAAAAGAGCGCGAAATCAATCTGTCGTGTCTTCATTAGTCGTCTATCTCATTTTCGCAAGCGAAGTTCCCCCTGTACATGTCGCTCGCGCTTCTCGTTACTTTCCACGTTGATACCTCGCCGCTTTTCGTGATCATCCGGCGATCGAGACTCCGCCGGAGTCTCGCGAAACTCACACGAGCGTCACGCAAATAATTTCTCCGGCAGCTCCCTCGCGCTATCGTCCCGTCGATTAATCGAATTATCAGTTCCAATAATTGAACGCCCGCTGCAAGTCAACCGCGACGGCAGAAAAGGCGAAGTGCGACGAGGAATAAATCTCTGGTTTCCGCGTGTTCCATCGGGGCTTTTAATCAGCGAACGAATAAAAGTCTGTTCGGGACTCAGCCGCGCGTTACTCGCGATATCTGCCTCCCTCTGACCTCTTCGGTGGTTCCTAAGTTATTCCGCCGCTGGCGGATCTTCGTACACGTAACCTTAGCGAAGAATAATATCCTCGGGTCGCACTATCGGTATCGAACGAACCTTGAAATCTATTGCGGCGAGCTGCTCGCTCGCGAAGCTCGCGTATCGCCGAGCGTGAAAGTTTGACTGGCCAGCAGCAGCTTTAATGATCAGCTGAGCTCCGAAGAGAGAGAGTTTTGCCTCCCACCAAGACGTTCATCGTCGATCGTGTGCTCGAAGATGCTTGTTGTTCCCAACCTGGGCGCACCTGCACTCCGAGAGGATTTCGTTGCTCCAACGGCAGTGCTTCCGTGATTCTGGGAAAATGCATAATCGTACGATTAGCGAGATATTTTGTTACCGTCGAAGAGAACACGTTTCCTCATTCCGAGATCTTCGTCCCGCGTCTGCTTCGATCTACAGAGAAAGAGGATAGGCTTTCTTTCCGTTTATTTGGATGTTACGATCGACTCACCTACGATTACCAGAGCGATACTATCGCAAATACCTCTCTCTCGCCGTTCGCTCGCACATAACCAGGTGATTTATAGTCCTATCCCGAACGCGTCCTTAAGACAGGTTCGATGCTTGATTGTTTTCGCTTATGTATGCGTCGAGTAAGGTCGAGATTTAACGACAGGACGCGGTTAATGGCTCGATCTTGTTTATTGTTTAGAAGAGTGCACTCGCGTGCTTAGATTAAATATAATTCATCGTCTGGGTTGTATCGTCACCCGGTAAAATAATCCCGCAACAATTCGTAATTTTATTGATTCGATGTGATTTGGACTGTGATTTAACTATGAGTGTGATTGCAACTGTTTTACTAATGTCTTGTTCCAATGTGTGCGATGTGCCTTTAATACTTCCGTTTCCATTTGAAACACGTTAGAGAATTATTTAATTCGATACTCTTGAAGATGTCCAAGTGTTCATACACATATGCATACACACACCTGCTACCTTTGTCGGTCAGTCGTCGTCTTTATGGAAGCAGATTATGACGTCAAGGTGGGTTACAACGAGAATCTTGCGAACGGGAGTGCTCGCAAAATGAGTGCTGAAAGAATCAGGACAGATTTCACTGGTTCGATTATAACGTACCGTTATGTCCTGTACGAATGAATTCTTACCGAAATCGTGAATTACACCGTTCGTTCGATCCGGGCGGAACCTTAAGAGAAAAAAAGTGTTGATTCCGCGATTCGATGTCGCGCGGTCGATTCTCTAATAATGTACATCATTAGAATCGGCGTTTTAACGAGTACGTTGTCAATCAATTCGTATTTAAATACGCGTACATTTATTCTCGACTCATTTTTTCGTTATTATAACAAAGATTTAATTATAATGTGATTGATTTCAATGTTATTTAGAAAGTATTTTCTTAATAATTTATTTATTTTTATTTGCATTTCGTTACTTAATTTTGTAGAAGAAATTCGTCAACGAAAGACAATCCGCCGACATGTTCAGAATCGTCGACAGTGTTCGATCGACAGTGAAAAGCGTCGGAGAAGATCACACCGATCGTGGCTTTTTCGGATTTGCGTTTTTTATAACGCGCAAAGCGGTCGAATCAGCAGCATCACGAGAGGGATATGGAACGCCTTTTATGGAGGCAACTTTCTAAAATATCCATCTCTTTGGGGCCGCGAGAAGAGCGCCCAGAATACCGTAAAAAATATTTGCCCAAGCTTCTGTACGACCGCGATCACTCGCACAAAATGATTCTCCACAGTTCCCTCGGTTGTTGGAAAACTTTATTATTCTCCAATTTGCGCAGACAATCGAGCGGATACGGGCTTACGGCGAAAAGAGATGCAAGAAACTCTTTCCGGATCTGCGCGTAAACGTTACCATTATCGATCGCGTGGTAAACCACGAGGCGATCTTTGTCCATTCGTCTCACCATGAAAACCGCGCGTTATCGCGCTATTAGGTAACACCCGCTGAAGAACTTTCCCTCGAATCGATCGAATTTTCAACAAGCTGATTACTCGTATCCGCACAGAGAAAAAATCAGAAATCGCAAAGTTCACGTAACCGACAGGGAGCAGACGAAAATTCAGTGACGAGAAGTGATGTCTCTGTTGCCACAATCGAAAATATTTGTCTGAAAATTGTATAAAAGGTGTAAAATTACATAAAAACCTGATTGAGCTTAGTAGGAACAGTTGACTGAGCAGAAATCTCTTCTGCAGGAATTTCTTTTTTTCTCGTCTAGTCTCTATTCTTCCTAGGCAACGGTAAATTCAGCTACATGGAAAAACTCTGTGCCTGCCACTAAATGAAAACCAGATCAAATGAAAACTCAATGACAAGAAATGATATCTCTGTTGTTGCAACTGAGAACATTCATGTGAACGTTTGCTGCATTAGAATTCTGTTGAGACAATTGACCGAGCCGAAACCTTATATAGGAATCTTTCTGTTCTTACGTGCAATTAGAGTATTATCACTGAAAAGCAGTCAATAGTCACTAGTGATCATAGTAATTATAAGTATAATACGACAATCAGTAAAATTTCGCTGCAAAAGTCTGTTAATAGCAGAAACTTTTTCCATCGGAAAAATCTAACTGCAGTAGCAATGAAAAAATATATTATTTATTACTTTTTTTTTTTATTATTTTAATCTCACTTTCAAGATATTGTTAATGGTTTTGCCTGGGATATTCATAATTATGTTTAATTGATTTAATTTATATTGTACTTGAAAAATGAAAAACTCTTATCTTGATGTGACTCGAAACCTCTAACTCTTAAGTCTGCTACCATACAAACTACGCCAAATACGACATATGTTTTGAATGCATACACGATATATTTATACATGTATTTTTGTTACGGGACGCATAACAGTGATTTACAGTGAATCGTTCATCGGCCAAAATCAATGAAGTATTAGACAAAAGAGCTAAGTGTGGAGAAATTTCTACTAAAAATTAATGAGTGCTCACTGATTACCGGTAGAGTACTATTTCACTGATTCGGATTGTGAAATTTTCATTAATTCAACTTAAAAGAGCAAGCAACGGAAAACTTAATTACATTAACGGTGTATTATTTGTTCCGTGCGCAACGCGACAGGATACACAGCATCTCGCGTGAGTCCGCATTATGAATAATGATCGTCCGATCCGCCGATGGGATTAATCGTACCGCGCGAATCCGAGTGGATTTATAGACGACAGCATTTCGTATTTCGTCACGGCGTATTCGCGACGCGTTCGCGCGGTACTGTCTCCAAAAACGGATTTGTTCCTCATTCTCGTCAACCAAATGCGGCTACGGCCGTTGTACCCATATCTGGGTCTGATATCCGGTATCTCGCATATCGTTCTCACGTTTCTCGAGTCGTCTCGAGTTTTCGGCACTCGCCGTAGAAAGCCTCGCGTATTCCCTCCGGGCGATTTGCGTCGTGAATTCCTCCACGCGCGTTTTATTGCCTTCCAAGAGAATTTGAGTATGGTAAGCGTATGTTGAGCCGATGTCAATCAAAAACTAACGCCTTTCGTGATACTTGCCAGTAGCGATCGCAATGTGCGTAAGAACGAACCGATGCGAAGCGATTGCGAACTGCGTGTGCAGTTTGCTTCGCGTTCGGTCAGTTTCCCCGGCGAGATGGTTAAACGAGCTAATTGAAACAACGATAGAGAATATAAAAAAGGAACGAGGTGTGTCATACCTCGTTGTGTAAGCCCGGTTAATTGCGTTTTCATAGCGCTTGCGTAAAACGTCGGGTATTCGATCGCTTCTCGCGAATTTCGGTAAATAAAGCAAAATATTTGAAAATACGAATACGACATCGATATATTCGTTTGATTTCGACAGATTCGTGCTTCTAATTTTGATGAATTTAGTTTCAAGCAAGACTGTTGGTGTGCACGTTATTTGTCGTGTCGATTTGCAAGCACTTATCTAGCGATAGTGATAAAAGGACATATATCTTAGAGTTATTATTCGCGCTCGTCCACGGTAATCGACGAGTCTCATGATAATGAACGTAATAAACCGATATTTTCGGCTCAACGATGCGAAACTTCGTGGAACTTAATGCACTCGCGGAGATTGGCTGTTATATTCTGAAAAAAAGCCATTAATGTTGTTGACAACTTATTGGCACCGCTTCGGATAATCATGGCGCGAAACCGCTCCGGTCAGTGTGACAATCTAACTTCGGTGATTGTTCCCGTAACACTATGCCGATCGTGACCGCATAGAAATTATTTGTATTCCGTTTGGCTCTCCGTATAACATCGATTCTGTAATACCGGGCCCGTGTACACGCTCGATTCTGCAACGCGACGTCGAATGAACGCAAATATCGGTGAAAACAAATTACGTAAAATCTCGATCGGATGAAATGATTTGCGAGCAAATTAACGATGCAGATGATGTTAAATCGAAACGTCGGTGAGTCAACTTTGTAACTTTTACGAATCACATTAATATGTATTACGCTCTAATTGCCTCAATGCGTGTGTTCTGTTGAACATTATGTGTTCTGAAATCTTTTCGACTTATAAATTATACGCACGCGTGCATACCGATCGTGTTCTTGGCATTCCGTTGTTGTCACCGTCGTTCGGCTGATTTGATTTTTTAATCCAAAATTAAATTTACGATTCTACAACGCACTCACTATATTTCACACCTTCACCTTGTGCACGCTATATCGAGCCGCTTTCGATCCGAGAGTATATTACGCATATCAAACAGCAACATAAAAACGTGACAGTGACATAAAAGCGTCCGTAATTAAGCATACTAAGCCGGTTGTTAGTTAATGATTGCTAGTAGTGAATGAACTCGACAGTTACATCTTAAAGTTTAGCGAGTAATGTCACACACACACACACAGAGCCGCTAAATCTATAATTTAATACTTTTGCAAGTGTGCCGCTTTTCGAACACTCGTACAATATTCGTGCATGACCACCAAATTTCGACTTCTAATCTTAATTTATATCTAATGTTCTTAACGTCTTATCTTAATTTTCTCACATACCATAACTACAAGCTGTAAACGAATCATTTACTGATTTACCAAAAATGTAATTCGTTGTTATGCTAAATGATATCTAATATAGATAAGCTAAATAACATATAGTTATAAATCTGTCACGACTGGAAGCGAAGAAAATCGCTCGTTTAATAAAGGGTTGTTCGAATTACATAAATGCATTAAGAGGTTGGAATATCTTACGAATAAGGAAGAGCTGAGAAAATGTTTCATGAAGTGTATCGAAGCAATGCACGTTTAATTTTACATCGAATTTCCAGCGGAAAACGTGGGGTTTCACACCCAGAAAAATGTTACATTCAAGTAAATTATTATTCCAATATTTCTTGACGAATGCTTTCTTAGATTAAATAGATTGCACTTGGATCAAGTAAATATTACTTGATCCAATAAAAAATTTGCTAAAGAATATTAGAATAATTATTTATATATTTGAATCAAACCCTTTTTTCAATGTGTTTACCTTTCGAGTTTACGTTACATCACGATGAACTCGCAGAAGTAACAAAGCTAATAGAGGCATCTCGCGAAAGTAAACAGATATAGTCTCATTACATCGCCGTAAACGTCATACAATATAATTATGGTAATCTCAAACGATAATCATGCCCCGGTTTCTGCTATCTATCGCGTAATTGCTGCCATTGAAAAAGCGCGCTAATTGATCGTAACATTGCAGCTCGCGGGAGCGACGAAGGCTATATTATTCCAAATCGCGGGCTCTTCTGTAAAGCGTACGTTCCACCGTGTAATAATTCTGCGTACGCATTGTGTCTCCTCATGTATATTTTTATTATCCCGATCGTAGCGCGGTACGCAGTAAAGGACACAAAGTCACAGAGAGCATTATCGCGAAAGAGAGAAATACAACCGTCGATTAACGTAACGTAGAAATGACTCGATGTGTCGCATTGCGCAGATTTTTCGATTTTAAAACTGAAAACGCGCTCGCATGCGCGTTCGCTTAACGTGATTCTGGAATTATTGTTAAACCAAATTAGATATTTCTGTCTACGTAAGGATAATGTATCTCGAGTCATTTTCGTTTAATCGACTTCCCGAGACGCGAGTCCGCACTCAAACGGCCTGCCCAGAAAACGCTATTGAAAATCGGCGACGCGAACTTGTCAGAGCCTGCGGTCGACTGCAAATTTTCCTCGCGATTTCACTTTCTCCGATGTGGCATAATTGCGCGTGTTACGAATCGTAAATGCTCGATTCCGCGGCACAGCCGCTCGTATAACGAAATCACAGACCGTGTTCCAACGACAATGCGAGACATGCATACGTGTCAAATTATTTTTTGCACATGTACGCAATGCACACATGCACACACATAACGAGTTGAATTAGACGCTCGCGTATCACCTCAGTTGCATGATACGGTATGTATTTCATGGCCATAGGTAACGTGCAACATCGCGACGAAATATTTCCCGAGTGCGTCTTGCAAATCGCGGGAACATAGATGACCTAATCAAACACCGAAGCTCTTACGACATTGAAATTTTTCCTCCCACGTGCGTGAACGAACAGTTGTGTATTCGGACGATGATGACGCAGAGAGAAAGAGAAAGAGGGACGAGCAGAACTTTCTCATTCGCGGAAAGTCCGGGAGTCTCTTACGCGGGCAGGTGCGTAATTCTTTAGGTAATTTATTCGAAGAAGGAGAGTGTTCGTATGAAATGGCGCGATGATCGAGGATTCGTCGTGTGCGTGAGGTCTCTTAAGATGCTACCATTCTTCTTGAATAGTGTATTGCCAAATTTTCTCCCCCCCCTCCCCCAATCTGTCTCAAGAAATAAATATTACCGTGACTACGAATAATTTGTTCAATGACGATTGACGTATATCCTCTATCATTTATTCAACTCGCGCTTCCTTCCATGTTGTGATATCAGACGTACACGAGATGGCTGATAAATGCCGCACTTTCACTTAACTACACATACTACAGCCTAAATTCCCAAGTTTCGCTCTAAGTGCTGTCAAGCGACTTCCGATGTCGTTATTCAATTGTCGTATGCTTTTCCTTGGTCTATCGATCATGACGGCGGGAGATATCTTTTCTTTTCCTTGTTTTTTTTTTTTTTTTTACCGAGAAGCAGTGTGGCGAATAAAGGATTAGGAAAGGACAAAAGATCGCCCAGCTATATTACGTCTTTATGGACCGTCGGTATCCTGGAAAATCATCCTCCCCTCGGCGCAGAATCAATCCTTTCTTCTCGTTCCGTTTCCGAAGGGTATATAGTACCATGCGTGTCTCGTTTTAATTTTTTTATTCAGAGCGTTCACATGCAATTGAGGGTCTTCATCTCTATCTTGTTCACCGTGATCATCTTTGTGCTATCTTTGTTGGATTTTTTCGGGTTTTCAACGTTGCCGAAAAACATCTTCTTCCAGGCGTGGAAGAACTGTATGTTCAGACTCGTGTATATCACAGGATTGTAGCAGATGGAGGATTTCGCGAGGAGTGCCGGCAGCACCGATACGACATTCGACGATATTTCTACCTGCAATCAACCTCGGTCAATCACAAATCGGGTTTGATTACCGGAATGAAAGCATGAAACACGTGATAACGGTGCATGAAACGACCGGTTCTCTTTGCCACTCGGGATACTCACGTAAAAATATTGAATTGCGAGCGCGAGCACGGCATAGGGCATCCAGGCGATCAGGAAAGCTATGATCATCAGCAACACCATTTTTGTGATCTTTGTTTCTCTCTTATTGTTTCGACCTACGATGAGTAGAGTTCACGAAATTTTAATTCAATCGTTACGGTTGGTTAGTGTCGAAAAATTCAGCGTTCAACGTGAAAAATGAACAAAGACTGCGAATCGAAGTTCCAATCGTATTTAGTGATTTTTCCTTTCGTACAAGTGACTTTTACTAGCAGTCGTTAAAAACGTGGAATGAAAAACTCACGGACTCTTCTACTTATATTCCTCAAAGTACGGATGATGCTGTAATAACTGCTAATAATTATCATGACGGGCGCGAAAAATCCAAAAATGAATAAAAAGCCGATGTAAGTATCGTTGTGCATTTCGGGATCGTGCTGCTCCCAAGACACGCTGCAGGATATGTTGCATGCTTCCCAACCATATTTTCCCCAATTGAAAAATGGCGGCAACGACAAGGAGAGCGCGTATATCCAAATTAGAAACGTCAATATATAAGCATGCCTGTAAAAAATAGTAGATTTCAGTGTGACACAGCTTGTACGAGAATAGAATCAAAATGATTATTATAAATAATATTATTATCATACATATCAATATTATTATAATTAATATTATTACGAATAAAATATTAGTAGACAATATCACGATCGTATCTCACTATTGAAAAGAAGACATGGTTTAGTTCATCTCTATCGAATCATATGGAAATAAAGACGCTAAAAGAATGTAACCGATAGCCGTGTAATCTTATCGGACGTTAATCCCACGATTACGCGAGAATGTATCATGCGAAAAGTGATAAAACGAAAGGAAAAATAGAATGTTTCTCAACCAAGCTTTTTTCAGAAACTACTTCACCAATTAATTTCTGCTTCGAAATATTTCTTTACAACATCTGTCGCTATATTTCTTACCACTTTTATGTCAATACTTTCAAATTTTTTCTTTTTACAGCTTGCAAATTCGATAAAATTTAAACCTATTTTGCATGTTTTTTTTTTTGACCGACCGCAATTTTGTTAACAATAAAATTATATTGTTCATTGAAATAGGAAACAACCACATTTATAAAAATTAAAATAAACTTTGGGTCGTTTGTTTCGGATTAGTAGAATGAGCACAAATTTCGGAACAATACAAACAAAATCGTCTCGACAGCTTATATTTAATCAATTATATCTTTTTTTATTATGCGCACAAAACATAAATCTATATTTTTCTAAAGAGAAAAGATGCCTAAACTGTGTGAAAAACATCAATACTTTTGTGTTTTCATTTTGTAGAAAAAAATTAAAAATAGCCTTAAAATCAGCCGTCTAAAGCCATCTAAGGAGAAACCTCTTTCAACTTGTAGCGTAGCAGTTGACTCGTTAGTGGAATAACGGATTTGTCGTTCTAAAGCGGTTTAAAACTTCGTTTGGTCTTCCCGACTACCACCACTTTCTTGTTCGCAACGTAAAGCAATCCCACCGATAACAAGGAGATCATTTTTAATCCATTGTTAATTGCGATAGTATAAGTAAAGGACCTTGGACTAGCGCTGGCGTAGCGATATTGTATTCTCTGTATTATTTCATGTGTGAAAGATGTAATTCGCACATCGAGAACGTTCTCAATGGTAATATAACGCGCAGATCGTGATATTTCCTATATGATTTCCTACGTGCAGAAAGTTTCTCTTGCGCGCGACATGAACTTCAAAATGAGCAATTTTTAATTTCCTTCGCAGAGAGAATATGAAATTGCGCCAATGTTTTCCTTATAATATATTACGTAATTGCACTAATGTGTTTTTTTCTTCTTTTTTGTCATTCGCCTTTGCACAACGAGAGAAATGGGCGACTGACGTAATTAAGATTCATCGCGATCCCGTGCACATTATAATTTGTAGGTGTTAACGACTCCTCACAGATACTTCGACCTCGCTTCCCGGACAGCGTTGCGATGAAAGTGTGCGATGGAAAGTGGCGGAATACACAAATTAATTATTTCGCCGTACTCATCGTTTGTGGTTCATAATTGATACAGTGCGCCATGAAAAAAGAAAGAGAAACAAACAAGAAAATCACGTGCAGGCGTGCGTGTCTCGTATGTTAATCGTGAAATTCTTTTATCAGAAAAGCCGAAATCTATTTTATTTTGACACGCCAATTTCTACCAGCAAAGAGGGATGTTTTACTTTATCGATAACGTCCTCATCGGATGTATCACCAGTAGGAACCTCTCGAATGCCATCACTGTTAAATTACCGATACTGGCAAACCCCATGGTAGTCATAAACCATGCGTACCTAAAGTTAGAAAATTTTTCGTTACCGCGATCACATTTATATGTAATACAAAAATGCAATATTTCTTTTTTGTTTTTAATATTGGGAATACAAATTAGTTCGGTCCGTTTTCAAAAGATGGCTCTGGCTGTTATGAATGTTTCATAATGACAGCTGATTTCGGTGGTTTCAGAGAGGTTAGACATCTGTCAATAATATTCAGTTTATATCGCTTTGAGTTTCATACAAAACCCCTGTTTTTTACAATGTTGAATATGTCAAATTTTGTGTTAACTAAGCAGCATTTGCGAGAGGTTTTAGTTTTCTGCTTTAATTGGAAAAAAAGTGCAGCTGAAGCGCATCGAATGCTTGTAGAAGTTTATGGTGACAATGCTCCAACTGATAAATCATGTAGGGAATGATTTCGACGTTTCAAGAATGGTGATTTCAGCGTTGAAGACAAGCCTCGCTCTGGACAGCCAAAAAAATTCGAAGACAAAGAATTGGAGGCATTACTCGATGAAGATCCGAGTCAAACGCATTGGGCCATCGGTATAGGCTACAATTGATTCGTTTGAGCCGTGCATTACGAGAAAAACGGCCGGAATACGAGCAAAGACATGACAAAGTTATTCTTTTGCATATGATAACGCTCGGCCTTATGTCGCAAAAGTCGTAAAAAATTATTTGAAAACGCTTAAATGGGATATTTTACCGTACCCGCCGTATTCGCCGGACATTGCTCATTCTGATTACTGGTTGTTCCGACGGATGCAGCACGATTTGGCAGGTCACCGGTTTACTTTTTTCGCAGAAATCGAAAATTGGCTCCTAACTTGGATCGCCTCAAAAGACGAGACATTTTTTCGAGATGGAATTCGAAAATTGCCTGAGAGGTGAGAAAAAGTAGTAGCCAGCGATGGACAATACTTTGATTAATCTGTTCATTCATTTTGTTCTGAAATAAATGCATTTTTGACTACAAAAAACGGACCGAACTAATTTGTACTCCCAATACAATGATATTATTTTTTATTATTTCTCGCAAATATAATATATAAAATATAAAACTTGAAGATGTCAGTCATCATTCGATTCGTTCGTTCGTTTTATATAAGTGAATAACGATATGTACCACTGACACATATTGTAGCTCCAGTACCACATACCGGCGATCGCCGACACCATTGCGATAGGGTTCCCCAGCACAGCTACTAACAGATCTCCAATCTGTTACAATGGACAATGCGACAGACATTAGAAGCATGCTCAGCATGGAAATGACAGATCGCGCTTATCTTAGATCGCGTTTCTCTTAGATTATCGCACTAACTTATTTCCATAATTATTTCGCGCTGACTTATAACCGAGAAATACGATAAAAAATAATGATGAAAGCCAAAGGGAAAATATTTTTTTGTTGCGTGTGCACGCAGCCGAGTATACAAACAATCCGCCGTATGATATCGTGGAGAGTAAAAGTTTGCTGGACTATATATAAAAGTAGAGCAATATTGCGTATAGCATTGAACTGGAACCCGCGAGCGAACTTTATAATTCACGTTTTATAACTATGTTTCAAAAAATTGGCGTAACGGAGTCGCGTCGAACACAAGCGTTCAAAACAAGTCTGCCTGACCATTTGCCTTTTTTGTAAAAATTCTTTTTCAAAGATCCGGAGCGATCAAAAGATAGGTATGCGTGCATGTTGTCCGGAAATCATAAACTCGTGTTACGGCAAATTCACTTGGATGCGCTAATGCGCACTGTTGCACACTAAAGGCTGTCGTACGCAAATACGCAGGCAGATATACGAGTGGTTGAACCGGGCGAGGAACTCGAGGAAACGAGTTATTGTTTAGCGAAATATATGTTATGTATTTGATTGACGTTAGTTCGTTTACGCGTTTTGAAACTTTTCTAAAAATTAATTAAAACATATTATGATGTGGTGTGTGTTTGTGTGTATAAAATAACAAGTTTGCAACACATCGGAATTTTCCTTATTACATTTTTATTTTATTACTTTTTCGTGTTTCGAAACGTTCGCTACTTAAATAAATTGCTCGTGGCGACTAGAACGTAGATAATACTTCCGAAATTAATCATGGTTACGCAGCACACACATACGGTATCTTATTAAACAAGTCAGATTTTTCCCGCAATATTGTCGTGTGATACGATTATTAAACTGAATTATTCATATCAAATGCGAAATTGGTACGTGTTAATTGTACATACGTGCTAATATACGACGCGAATCATATGAGAAAGAAATTTATTCTCTCGTTCAGTGCTGGCTTAAAATTTCGAACTCGTATAATACCAATAACTCTAATAATAGAGCGAGATTCAAAATCTCTACGAGAGAGCGATACTCACGGCCATGTTGACGAGCACGACGTTGTTGGGCGTCCAAAGTACATTCGCGTTCTTAACAACCGTAAGAATGACCAACAGATTCAGGATGAAACCAAAGAAACCGATGAAACCGAGCACAATCGCTGCGAAAATGTAAATACCGGACGATGCTTGCGCGACGGTCGAATTGTCCGGCAGGTCGGTGGTCAAATTCAAAGACATACTTCCGGTATTGTACTTCCGGTCACGGAAGCTTTGTTCTACGGTTGCTGCGAGCTCGACAGAAGCGACAAGCGGCGAGAACGCACGGTCGCAAATCCGACTCGGTCGCATTAATCAAAACCAGTGACGGAGTTTTAAAGTCACGCTGGCCGAGCCACTCGTTGGTTGTCGTTCGCGACGCGCGCAACCACCCCCCGCAGCGCGAAAAAGCAATATGCGCGCGAGCCGAGTTTCGGAGTTTCTTCGTTAACGTGCCGACCGCATTATTCCATTCATCTGAATTCGAGAATTCGAGATTTCGTTCGCACTCAATCAATCCCGAGTTCGAACTTTTCGACGCGATGATGAGAGCATTATTCCACTCGGCGAACTCGATAGCTTCGTGGTTGTATTATCGTCGACGTTTGTCGTAACTCGCTAACGAAGCTTTCGATCATGTAAGTCTTCTCTAAGAGCGGAAACGTGAAAAGTTGCACGTGAGTTCGACGAGTTTGGCGTCATGTGACTTCTTGAACGAAGGAAAGGTGAAACTATTCACCGTTCGCGTTGAAACTTGCACGATCGCCGTCCTGAGCGAACTTCGTTAGCGAATCGCGGCGAACGTAAGCGATAATATAACCGCAAAGTTCCTGGGCTCGCCGAAAAGAATAATCCCTTCATTATCGCGTCGAAAAGTCAGAAACAAGAGCAAAGTTATGATCGCTACCCTTATTCTCTCAAGTTGATCCAATGAAAATGTCACTAATTGAATTAGTGGAACAATATTGTACCGATAATCAGCAAGTATTCACTAATTTTTAATGGAAACTTTTTCATTTAACTCTAATATTGATTTTGGCCAGTGAGAGATTCACTGCAAATCGTTGTTATCTGTTCGGCAGCAGAAATATATCTACATATCTACATACATATCTACATAGATATATGTATTCAACTATATATCGTATTTGTCATATTTTATATGGTAACAGGCTCAAGAGTGAAATATTCTTTATTATGTTTAATTGATTTAATTTATTTGAAAAGCACCCTTACAGGATTTGAAATCTCTAAATTAGTATAAACGTGCTTTTCAAATAAATTAAATCAATTAAACATAATAAAGAATATTTCAGGCAAAATCATTGACAGTATCTTAAGAGTGAGATTAAGATAACAAAAAAGAAGTAAGAAATAATATCTTGTTTTCACTGTTTCTGCAGTTAGATTTCACCGATGGAAAAAGTTGCCGCTATTAACAAACTTTTGCAGCGGAATTTTACTGATTTGCAGTGTTATATTTGTAACCATAATCACTAGCGACTATTGACTGCTTCTTAGTGATAATACATTGATTGAATTTTAGATAGTTCTTCGTCTTCGTGTGATTCTATTTTCAGGGAGAAATCAAGGTAGGCAGGCTTCGGTTGGGCAAACGTCGAGCAGAACTGATTCGCGATTTTCGTCACCTCGGTGGACTGAGAAAATTCGCGGGATGACGAGTGTCTCTCCGGTTGCGAAGTTTTTACACGCACAACTCGATACGCTCGCTCATTGTGTGGTTCTAATAATCGCGCGGCCTCGCGCAGATGAAATTCTACCGGCTTCTCTCGAGCTCGCTCAGGTTACACGGCTCTCCGTATTATCTTACGAGATAATTGTACTTTTCCGTAAGAACGCAACGGTTCTTACGTTCCTCGTTTACTCCGATCGATTCGATCCTACGATCTGTCAGGGGAGAGCACCGGGACTCTCGCTCTCTCTTTTTCTCTCGTCGTGTTTTTGTTATTCCGTTGCTGAAACACATTCGTCGGAAGTCCTCGAAGAGCTGTGGAAAAACTTGCTCGCGGTAAATTACACATTAACAATATACAGTTCGCCGTTAAAGCGTTTCTTCTCCATGGTGCTCGACGGCGTCATGGGCGATTAAAAGCGTGACGAAGCTCGACCATCGAGCTCGGGCTTTTTATCGGGAACGATTAGGTCTCGATTTCTGCCTGTCACGTCGATTCCTGTCTGAAATTTTAATTAGAGATCACGCGATCCTCGACTGACTTCTCGTTGAGAAATAGTGAACTTGGTATTTATCCAAGTGGCTGTGGATGAAACGATTCAGAGCGCTTCGTTAGTTATCATTCGATTGTGTTAGATTCGATGTTAGAGGTCAAAGCCTATTATTTTTCCAAAAAGATTATGCTCATTGATCATGATCTCTGATGAATTAAATTGATAACATATCAGATTGACAGGATAAATCTACAGAACTTCCTGCGCGTTACATTCGTTACAAGCCTTTTCCAAACGATTATCGCTGGTCGCTCGTTACGTGTACGATGTATCTTTTATCAAAGAAACGTAAGCCGATTTTTATATTTCGCTTTTTTCTACTTTCAATTTTCAGCTGCGCTGCAAATTGAAAAGCTCGTTGCAAATATTCAATCGATGTTTTTTTTTCTACTGAATCGAAATTACCGTTTGCCGATGAACGCCACAGATAGCTTTGCGAATCGTTTCGAAATATTCGCGAATATTTCGCGTCATACCAAGTTCAACAAATCAATAACGTGATACGCTGCTTCGCAAATAAATTGATTTGTTTTTCGTTGTTATACAGTACCATGCAAATATAAATTTATTTTTTCCTACAAACGGAGGTATCATTATTTATCGAACAATGAATTAATTCATTGCTGAAAAAAAAGTTGTGGCTTGTGTACTCACAAAGAGACTTGTTGAATTTTTACTATATACCTCGTAATTTTCATATACCCTGTCGGGCTGACAAATAACGCGCGAATATATATACGTAATACTCCGGTGTTTTATAAACAAAAGGCGATATTCTTTATTCGCTTTGTTCATTGATGAAATCGCGATGTGTCTGACCAAGTACATATCCGTATATTTAAATTATCTCTTAAAGTACAAAGAATTTTAACGGCAGTGTTTATATGCTTTACATATCCTCGGTGTCGCTATCCGAGTCCTCAGCTATCGCCTGCCGCGCCTTGTTCTCGGCGTCGGCCTTTATTTCAGCCGGTACACGCTCGTGCCTGCCGTTCGTGTGCGCACCGACCCAGCTCATCTCCAGTTCGAATTGCTTGTCCTTCAATTCGTCATGTACAAGGTAGATGATGCGAGCAGCTTCCTTTACTAGCTCCTTGCACGTCATCTCCGATAACTTCAGCTTCTCAATCTCTGTCTTCGCTGATTGTTTCGCTTTACCTACGCCACAATATATATATATATGTATGTTAAATCCAGGTTTTTTATACAAAACATTTCCAATGTTTATATCATAACTTCACTCACCTACTGCGCAACCGTAATAACCATACGACACCCCTGACGGGTCTATCATATACATTGCTGGACCATCAGTCTCATAAGCGCCGAGTAAAACAGAGCAACCGTATGGACGCACAGCAGAGTACAAGGTATACGCGTGCATGTACATAGAAACTCTCTCATTGAGATATTTCAGAGGAATACCGACTCCATATTGTGCCTTGTAACTTGAGGCTTCTCCCCTTGCCGTCTCCGCAATCTGTCTTGCGTCCGATATTATACCGGACACTGCCATACCAACGTGCTGATCTATGTTGAGTATGCGTTTGTTAGCACCTGGCTCGTAGAGTTTGGATGTTACTATCTTCTCAACGGCGAACACTACGCCGTCTTTGCCCCGTAAACCAATAACTGTCCTACAAATGCGATCAATTAGTGCGCAATGTTAAATATTAAGCATTGTACAAAGGTACTGTTCAAATCCACTTAACCTAAAAACGCACCAAAGTTAGAACAAAGTTGAGATATTTACCCTCCGTTTTCTACGGCTTTCTGAGCGTACTCCACTTGAAACACACGTCCGTCCGGTGAAAATTGCGAAGCGGAGAGATCATACTGAGGGAAAGATTGAGGTTAGGTTTAAATGTCAGTTGCATAAACAGCGCATTTTATAAGCATATCTTGCGAAAATATACGTTGTACTTACTCCTGTGCCTATCGAACTCATTTTTCAGAGAAGATATGCAAACGGCAAGACTCGAAATGTGAAAAATTGTTTACACGTCTATCGCGACGTGAATAGGCGAAAATCAACCGACTCGGCAATCCGTAGTCACGGCGATTAGGTTAGGTTTGTTCGCGTTGCGTGCACTTTTGACACTGGGTCTGTTCGTTTTCGCTGCACTGCTGAACTAGTGCAATAAGTTGAAATGAGAAAACATGTACTTGTCTCGCACAGTTTAGTAGCACTAGTAGAACAAGCATTTCCGCGTCCTGTGAGCGGAAGCTAATAGCCAAACTTTATATTTAAGACCGTTTCGAGTTTATTTTCAGATGTTGTACGGATCTCATGACATACCGGTCTCAGCATAAAACTCATATCAGATTACGGATTAGGGATTTAATTGAATTTAACTAATTGATGTAAAGTTAACTAAACTCAAGTTTAGTGAAATTTAGTGAATTCTAGACTGTTTGGTTAAATTCTAATCTCAATCTCAATCTTTAATCCATAATCTGATACGGGCTTTAGGTGGCGCATGCAAGGATATCGAAACTCTCATAATCAATTGTAAAAAGTATCGATTCCTGCATCGACTGACCTAAAATTATAATAATCGTTTAAGTTTCAACTTTGAATCTTTTCGTAACTACTTGGTATATATGATCAATTATTAAAATATATTATAATAGTGCTTACAAACGTGTTATTGAAAAAATGAAAGAGTTAATTAGACTATTTGGAAAAGAAAGATCCTTCTGAGTTATTGTTGATTTATACTATTTGGAAAACTGAAGTATACTATTCGGTAACGAGAGGTTAGACGAACGATGCCGCAAGAAATGAACATTTTATGTTGTTACTCGTGCAAGATGTACCAAGTAAGAGTGAAAAAATAATGTTGCCACACTTGAAATTTGCTATTACTCGCAGTATTTAATTCTTTCAGTATTTTTATAGGTACATATAGTTAAGAAAGCACGTAAATGGCAGTGTAAGTTGTGCAATAAGAAGCAGTCTATCAAACAAGTAGGTGCTTGAAGACAATGTTGTTGACAATGATGACTGCAATAATTTATTATGGTTTCAATATGTTATTTCATTTTATTGTTCCATTTCCTAGATACATTTTCAAGGATCTGGAAAAGACTGTCGTCTCTATGTCCAACGATTAAATTCTTTGAAAGCAAATGCTACATCATTCTCTGCTGTAGCTTCAGAACAAGATGACAATAACATTTATTACAACTCATCTCCAAATAATTCTCAGATGTCAGACTATAGTAAAATTGTGGAAAACAAATGGGCCAAATACTTAGATTCGCCAAAAAAAGAACAACCATCTGATACAAAAGATTCATCTTCTGAAAATATTTGTGAAGCTGAAGATATAATGTTAGGTGAGGAATTTCTATGCAATGACAGAAACAATGATTTTTGTAACTTTGACGATATTATGGATGATTCTGATTTTGAAATTGAGGATGTTGCTAAGGATCATGAGACGAAAGATCCTTATTCTTTAAGTTGTGGTACAAATTCTGATGTTGATCAACGTGATAATTTACGAGATAATAAATCCAGCAAGAATCATGATAATGTTACCAGCATTTTCGAAACTTATGATGACTTAGGTAATCCTCTTGATTTTTAGCTTCTATAGGATTGATAAAAACGATATCTCAAATAAATATCTAAATTGCAATTAATTTTCTGAAAAGTAACATTTTATTATAGAATTCAGTACGTAAAACATTCAGGAAAATATTTGTCGAATTATTTCTTTCACAGATTTTTATATCCTACAGAATTTCAAATAAACGCTTAAATTATTTACTTACTTCACACATATATATACGATAGAGTTTTTGGTAACTGAATAATATTTTTAATTTAATGTCTTCTATATTTTAAGAAATATTCTTTTTCTAAATTGTATGTGGCATAGATACTTTGTTTCTTTCTGCTATATTTTCTTTGTCAAATAAAAGTAAATGAGTAATGGTTTAATATGCAGGACTTTTCTTTAGGTAAGGTAGAATGCTGATTGAAAGATTAAAATTATTGCTGCTATACACAAAAGCTTGCATTCTTATACAGTATTACGATTATATTCTCGACATAAAACTAAATTCATAAACTATTGTGAATTTCTCTTTTGTGCATGGAATTATAAATACTTTACAAAACCATTCCTATTAAGACCATGCTTCTCAAGCAGCAATATAAGGATTGAATATGTATATATATATATTTTTTTTTAATATAAGTGCCTACAATTATTTTCTTTTTTTAAGTAATTATATTAATATACATCAACAGCATCCTACTTTCTCCTCAACGTATATAGTACATTACTAATAATTATTTTTCTACTAAAACAGCTGTGTATTTGCTAAAGTAATATAAATTTATATGTATATTATACGCATTAAAAATAAAATCGACAAAGATCCAAATGAGAATGTTATTACAATAATATTTACACTCTTTGGATGATCTTAAAAATTTAACTAATGTGCTCGGATCATCCGTACCCGCTCTAGAATCAATATCAATGTTGTACAATCAATATCAATGTAAATTCTTTTTTGGCAGTGCGTTATGAGAGCAACCATATCTTTTATTGCGCGAAGGCAATGGGAGAGCTAAATAAAATGGCAGCATCTGGTAAACGTTATACTTTCTGATTGTTGTACAAATAATCGCGGGAACATTGCAGTTGGCAAGGGAAGATCAAATCCTTTTCCGTTTTCGTTGTGCGTTCGCAGTCTTCTATTACACAGCTGATTTCAGTAATTTACTGTAAGAAAATTTTTTCAGCGAAAATGATTGTTTATATTAACTTTACGTCTTCGCGTCGATTTAGTCGAAGTAAAAACATTTTAATAACACTATCATCTCTCTCTTTCTGATTAATTCACACGGAAATGCCATTAATATTAGCCGTTATTATTCGTGCATGAGCGCACGCGTGACGCTTATCTCGAACATTTTTCCAAAAACTAACTATAATCGGATAAGTTATTTGCATGATACAATCCTTCGCGTAAATATTTCGCGTCTCCAAAGAGTAAATAAATTAACAAAAAAATGTGTACGTACGAAGTAGAATTATGTATCTATCTACGTCTCTATATCTTCCTCTATTCTAAAAATTGATTATTCGCAATCCCAATCGTGGTGTGTGAAACTTATTATTTCGCGTATCTATAAATTCAAACGCGTCCCACATAGCGCGTGTGAAACTCTCACGCGGTATATAGTTGATTTCAGAACGGTTTGAACAGTTTTTCTCTATACAGCGTAGTCCAATGAGAGAACATAACTTTTGAGAATAAATAAAAAATATGCCCTCTCATTGGCTGCTTACCAAACTATTGCATCGAGAAAAAAGTGTTTAAATCGTTTCGAAATCAAAAATACACACGTTTGCACACGCTTTTTCCGTGAAGTTAGGTATTCATCAAATGGCCATGATTGTGAGCCATTACTGACTTGCGTAGTAATCTTTTATGGCAGAAGCCGCAGTGATAGTATACGAAATATCCGAAAAAAGTGCAATGAAAAATTCAAGGCAAACGTAAGTATTTGTATTATACTGTTATCTCCATCGGATAAAATAACAGGCTACTATTTACACCGAGTACTGTCACTCGACTTTTGTCGTAACCGATTACCTTGCAAGTTCGTGAACAATGATTCGCGATCATGAACATTTTACGTTCTCCCAACTTTATCGGAGAAAACGTGTGCAAACGACTGTATATATCCGATACGATCGCCACAAAATATATCAGGAACACACGCGATATGTGGATGATGAAGATCTAATGGAATCAAAATGTCTCATTAATTTAAATATCACCGTGGTCTTCGTTATTTATTAGTAAATAAATTAGATTACTAAATGCATTGCGAAATCAACGTATACCTAGGGCAATTTGTCACGCGATTGTTGAAGCGTATAGAAAAAAAAGAAAGATGCATTATCGATCAGTATGGGTGTCTGTGCCGAAAATTCGTTGAATCTTGATGATGTCGCCAATTACTCTGCCAGCTTCTGCTGCGCCTACTCCAGACGCTAAAATAAAAAATGATGAGCGTTATTGCATTGAGCGAATACTTCATCAAATTAAAGCAAATTTCAAAGACGATTAGATCCTCGAACAGATCGACGCTACGTTACATTATTCCGCATAAATTACGGCTGATGTATTTTTTGGAGAAAGTACTTACTTCGGCAACTTCTTTCGCTTTTTGCTGGTCGTGCTGCTAAGTCCGTCCTCGCGCATAATTTGCAACGTCGAAGGTATGAATCTACCTTCTTCTGAAATATTTCGTCAGGCTCTTAGTACTTGAAACTCTCAGTATGTTGTGTGTTCAGGTTTACGAAACGTACCATACGGGTCGCTGTACTTTCTCTTCGTGATTCGCTGATGCTGCTGATATTGCGGCAGAGCCTCCCTAGCGCTGCCGACCGTGCAATCCCTCGTACCTTTGCATCCCTTCAAGTGTTCCAATTGATCGTGCAGATAGGATCTCTCGGTAAGTGTCAAAGACGACACTCTGTTCCATTGTTCGAACGGGTCTGAAAGAGAAAATAGTCTCTAAGCCTGCGAGCCCTTAATCAATAGTCAGGCTATATCAAGACAGCTAAATAATTCATATTAAAACCGACAAAGTTTAATTAAGAATTCTCCGAAAGACGAAAATTCCATTTGGATGAAATCGAGTGAAATCGATTTCTCGCCGCACACTCACTCACCGATCCTCAGATTGTAAAATGTTACGAGTCCCGTGGTGAACTCGCAGTAGAGGAAATTGTGCGTGACGTTGATCGTGCGTACGCACGAGTACGTGTTGTTGTTCGCGTTCATGCAGAAGCAGAACGGGCCAGCGCTCCACAGCGGTGCGGTGCGCCAGTGATCGTTGTCGTGCTCGAAGCAGTTCATCTTCTCTGTCAGACACTCCTTCTCTAACTTAGCCTTCTTCCGCAGCTTCCGTTCTTTCTTCTTCAAACGTTCCTCCTTCAACCTCCGTCTCTCTTCCCTCGCGATCTCCTTCTCGTCTTTCTTCGTGTCGGGCTCGCAGTAGCACTTGTACCGCGGTTCCAACGAGCCGTTTTGCGCCGCCTGTGACCGGCCGTTGTTCGCGCTCGCACCTACGAGATCGAGAGTTGTGCGGTAGAAAGCTTCGCTCGAGAAGCAGGGAAACTTGAAGAGAACCGTCTCTTTTAATTTCTAGCAGTGAAATTTCACTCGACGAATGGAGTGACTATCGATCACTCGGATTCGAGTGACTTTTCACTCATTTCGAGGGAATCCTCCACTCTGAATCGTCGAGTGAATATCTTCACTCGAAATTGAAGAGCGAATCTGAGGGAAATATTCAATATTTATAATATTTATGTTTTAAGAGAATCAACAATTTGCTCATATGATCAGAATTAAGGCTGTCGATTTCGACTCTCTCTAATTATTTATGTCGATGCGAAAGTTTATTTTTAATCAAAATGTACACACAGCATTTATTTATTTTCAGAAATACAATCAATCAATTAAGTATGCATCGTTTTATTCGAAGACTTGCTATCTCTATGGTAGCTACATGATCCCACGTTTTTAGGAATTCTGGGATTTCTGAACGAAGAACTTATTAGAAAACGGAACGAATTTTTCAACGAAATATTTTCTCATTATTATTTTCTGCATGTCGGGGTAATATCCGTAAATATAAATGCCTGAGTAATCGGATATTTAAACCTATGGATATTACCCGGGTATCGAAATACTCGGATTATACCGACAGCACTAGTCAGAATTCACCGTAAGCTTAAGTGAAATATTTACTCTTGCGATTTCGATTTGGCAATATTTTCACTTGATCACTTCGAGTGAAAATACTGCCACCCTTCACTGGTTTTGAATGAGATTTCACTCCAGGAAATTTAAAGAGCACAATTGTCTGATTCGTTGCGTACCTTGTTTGTGCCTCCTGCCGGGAGCCTCGAGGATCGTAACGTCTATCCTGGCTGGGCCGAGGACCCCCGACGTTCTATTTTTCTGCACCTTGGTGTACTTCCTCAAGGACTGCGTAGTAGTCATCGTCAGTGGTGTCGTGCTGACGGGCGTATTTCGCGATCGATCGGGACTCGCGGCTTTACCGTTCACCGGGCTGCTCGTCATTCGCGTCACGGTGGTCGCCGGTGGTTCGGTCTCGGCGGTTGGTTCCGCGTTGCGATCCGCGTTCTGAAGATCGTTGCCGCTCTGGGACGCGGCTCCTTGTCGCACGGTGGTGGTGCGCTCGGTCGCCGTGACGGGCACGGTCGAGAAGCCGCGGTCGTCACGAGTCGAGACGTCCTGCGTGGACGATGTTGTCTCGTTGGTGTTGTCGGTCACGTTCACTTGCGTCGCACGCGGCGCCACGCCGTCGTCGTGCACGCTGTTCGTCAGCAAGGTGTTGTTCCGCCGATGATGATGCGGCTTCCTACGCCTCTGCGGCTTGTCCTCCTCGGTCTCCGTTCGGTTGCTGGACGTTTCCTTCGTCTTCTGCCGACGTGCTGGTTTCTTCGACTTCGTCGTCGACGAGCTGGTAGTCGTCGCGGCCGGTATCTCGGTCGCACCGCTGGTCCCGGGAATCTCCGCAGAAATCGTGCTGTGTTTGTCGAGCCGTTCCTTCGTCGCCGAGATCCTCTCGTCAACCGCACCAGTCTCTGTTGCAATCGGCTCCGTGGATGTGCTCGTGACACGCTCCGCGTTGGCGTGAGTGGTCTTGTCGTATTTCTTATGGTGGCGACTCGCGTGACCCTTCGGCGGGTGGTGGTAAAGTCGGTGCGAGCCGCGGGATTCTTCCGCGTCGGCGAGCTTCTCCTCGTGGTCCGCGAGGAATTGTGGCCGCTTCTTCATCAGGTGCCGGCGAATCTCCTATGATGTAGTAACAAGAATTAATAGTGTCTAATCCGGAAATGAGTCTCTGAATTAAGAAAAGAGAAATATAACAAGTTGTTGGGTGCGTGGAAAAATTCGAATCTTTTTTTCCGCAGGTTTTCGCTGTTTTCTATACGGGAGCAACTCATTTTTCTCATTTCTCACTTATTTAGAAACACTTCACTTTCTCTCACCTTTTCAACGAACCGAAAAAAAGAGACAATGCCCATTCGGAGTACACCTGACTGTGTTTTCTTTAAATTGCATATTATTGAATATTATTAAAATTCGAATTCCAAAAGTATCATGTGTAACTTTTTTCTTCCTCACAATTCAAATTTTGCTCTCTTCATTGACGTTCTTTGTAAAATCAGGCCTTTTAAAATCTCTCAGAGAAATAGTATAATATAGATAAGCAATTTAGCGTAAATTATTTAGGAAAGACTCACTTTATATTCTCTTTTTTTAAAACTGACTCATTTTTCTTACTTCTCCAAAGATGAAACTCATTTTACCCACTATTTTTGACAGCTAAACCGCTCCCATATCTGTTGTAGGTCAAAAGACTAAAAGCTTTCGTATACATTTTTTATTTTGACACGGCTTACTTTCAACGATTCCAGTTGCTCTCGCATTTTCCGTATTTCCTGCTCGATCTCGCGCCTCGAGATCCGCCACTCGTTAGGATCATGATACACAGCCTCGGTGCAATTGACACCACCTTTCGGTAAGACTAGGCATTTCGGTGTCTTCACTACCTCAGACGAATGACGGGCTTGAGTTTGCTGTCGACGGAATGGCAATTTTCATTTTATGAAACACAAATCAGACGATCGAGCGATTTTCGATGGTTACCTTCAAGTCGTCCAATTCCTCCTCTATGCTCTCCATGATCTTCGTCACATGCTCGATGGTGTCTTTCTTCGTAACGCTCCTCCGTACTCTCCGGTGCCTCTTGATCACGTCGTCCACGTTCAATCGGCCCTTGACGACTTTGTCCAACGTGAGATCGAAGTCGTCGAGCGAATAGCCGGAGATCTTTTGCTCCAGGTAGTCAGGGACGAGCGAGTCCTTCCTGTCGACGCTATCGTCGTCGATTCTCGTTCCATTTCCGCGCGTACTCCTGAGATAATAATAAAGTAACACGTTTTTTTCGGACTCTGCGATACCTTTGCCGATTACTTTCGTACCTCGCTCGCGCACTCGTGTGCTCTCTCTTCACCTGCTGCGTTAGCAGATTCACCTCCCGCAGAAAATCCTCGTCATCCTCCTCGTCGATCGCTCGCCTGTCACGTTCCTCCTCCACGTCGAAATCGGCGTCGAAATCCTCATCGATCTCCCGATTCAACACGCTATCGTTGGACACTTCTCGTTTGCCTGCGAATGAAATTACATTTCACAATAGATTTTAGAAAAATTTCAAAATTTACACGTTAGAGTTACATTACAATGTAATATAAGAAATGATAACTTTAACATTTTTTTACCGTAACATTTATAAATTATTGTAACTGTTCAAATTCTAATATCGCGCCTTTTGTTTGCGCCTTACTGTTTTTAATTAACGCAATCGCCACATCTCTTATCACGCGGACGACAGAGTAACGATTATTATGACGATTCTCACTAAAAACACACCTCGTTTGGCGAAGTACCTCGGTATATCACCGTAAGGGTCCGCGGGTCTGCGCTCCCGAGCGAAACCGTATCTGTGGCCGTCGTAATTGTTGGACTCAAGCCTCGTGTAGACGACGCCGGTCGGCGTGAAGCAGGCGCACTTCTTCGACTCCCTCTGTACCGGCGGGGGTGCCGCGTACCTGCACTTGTGCCGTCGCCAACGGTGTCCGTCCCACTCGCAACGCCACTTTTGCCCGGGCAAGCAATCGGTCTGCGCTTCCGGCCGCGAGCATTCCGCTGCGAGCCGCTCGTGCTTCGTCGAGAGGGGTGTGTGCACCCTGTTATCCAGATGCGCATCCGAATCTGGAGAAATGTTTGAGTTGCAATCCACCTTTCGTAGGATCCGTGGGACGCGTTTTTCTCACACCCGAGATTAATTTTTTCACGCACGTCACTTTTTATCCAGTTAAATTCTCCGAAGCGTCCAATATGGATCTTGGACGCATGCTTAGAATCACATATAATAACGAGTAACAGTTTTTCCGGCGGGAAATCGTCGGGCCCCGACGGAAACTTGCGTGTAACCCATCGAATGTTTACGAAGTAGTACGCGTGGAACTTCTTATACGTGAGCAAACACACATAAAACTAAACGCAACGTGACGCAGCCTTATGAAACTCTTGCTCGCGCTGCTTGGCAGCGATAAAGAGGATAACGTTGGATCCCCGTGGATTATCGTGAGCGATAAAAAAAATTTCACCTCGGTATCGGTGTCTCGTTCGTGGGATCCTCCGATAAAGCGGGATTTGAGCTCGCGCGTCGGCCACTTCCTCGGCGGAGGAGAAACCCGGAGGAGCCGTCTTTTCGACCGCGACCGCTCGTTTTTTGACGCGCACATGGCTGAGTCCACATCCTCTTTACGCGAGCTTGAGATTCCCGCCATCGGAAGGACGCGGGATGAGACTCATCGGTATATATACACATACGTGACGACGCTTTTACTCGCCGACGTGGGCCCATCGCCGAAAATATCCCCGTGACAAAGTACGTCCGTCCGATAATCTCGGCAGGGAAATAAGAAGAAAAAGAGAGAGAAAGAGAGAATGATAGGAGGAGAGGGAAAGACGAGAGAGGAGAGAGATGCGCCCCGTCAATCCCCGGGACCGGGTATTTATGCTAATGCATACCGGGGAAGGAACGAGTTCCTTTACGCGCGTACACGCGTAATACGCAACGTACAGCATCTGGCGTAACGGTAGGTTTTATAATGCCACGCCGCCGTCGCCGCCACCGCCGCGGAGCATCTGTTAGAGTCCGCAGTCAACGGATCTATCCGAGATCCTTGCGAGATCGACGGCGCGATCCTATCCTCTTCGACTACGTCTTGTGAGAGTTTATGAGTCAACGCGAAAAAAAGATGAGTTGAAATAACGTGATATGATTAGGCGCGTTTTGGCGGGAGGAAACAGAATTTTTGGTTCTTAAGTTGGTTGCTTCGTAAATTAGTTTTCTTAGTTAGTATTAGTTAATATTTACAAATTTTAACAGCGTATTATTTGAAACACGATCTACAGATGTGTAAAATTACAGGAACATTGATTGTACCGAAGCTGAGATAATTGAAATCAAAATTAGAATTATTTATATGTATCACAGGTACGAAAACGACTTCCGATATTGCATTTTCAATTCTAACGATTAAACTACTCTTACGGTTTTGAAAACGAGAAGACGATAAAAGAAACTTGTAAAACTATTATTGAAAAATTACGAAATCATTGACCATTTAGTTTTCCGGAAATTGATGTATAAAATACGAAATTTCTGATAACTATTGAAGTACATAACAGTTAATCTGTAAAGATTCTGCAATATTGTACGCGATATATTTCCCCTTATGCTTCTTGGTTAGGCATTTTTGTAAAGATAGAATTATTAAATAATCTTAAACATCTATAACCAGTATACAAAGAATACAAAGAATACATGCAATACAATGCAAAGAATACAAAAAATACGAAAAAATCTGATGTCACGATCATTTCTCCAACAATCTGCATTTGTATACGTCTATCAGTACACATGATATATATTAAAAATATAATATACGTGATATATATTAAAAATATATAAATATTATGTGTGAAATCATGAAAAACAATTATTTCTTTATAGGTTCTTAAATATTATATAAATTTGATTGTGATATTTTCCTGCTATAGTGTCAGAGCTGTGTATCATGAATCATATTTATAAATATTTAGCATAGATTTTTCAAACTTCATATTGCATTAATCATTACCTTTCTAATACTATTGTTAGGGATCAACCATTTGAAAAACGAGTTTGGTTCATGAGAACCAGAAATTCTATTCTTTCAGCAAAACGCTCCTGATTATGTCATGTTGATTTAACTTTTTTTTTCTCAAACGAGAAATCAAATCAAGGATAAAAGTAGAAGTTCATAACGTTAACCGGAAACGATTAACCTTTCGCTCGAGCAGCGATACTACTCAACATTTCTTATAAAACTCGAAAAATGTCGCGCTTTTCGAGTTTTAAATCAGTTTGAAAACTAACTCGGTGACTTAGTTAAAAAATTTAGATCTGAAACTCGAAAGGTTGCCGTCACAGCGTACCTTCGGCTTCATAAGAAATTTTGGATGACGTCCACGAAGTGTGAAGGGTTAATTATCCCCGAGAACGGGAGAGCAAATTGGAATTCCTTGCGCTACTCCGAGATCAACGCAAGCGACGACTCACTTGTCTCGTCGATTATTGAATCCTCGAAGTCTTCGTCCTCCGAGATATCCTGGTCGCTGCCGGTGTCGTTGTCCGTGAATCGATGCTCCGCTTCGACATCGGCATCTGAGTCGGCGATGTTGTCATCTTCCTCTTCTGGCGTAGAGCTTGGCAGCTGTTTGCTCTGCGTGGCGTTTTGCCTCCTGGCTTCCCGCGCTTTCGATTCGGCGATGGACTCTGGGGTTTCACGGCGGCCGGAGGACTCGATCAGAAACGTGTCTGGCCACTTAAACTTTGACCTTCTGCCGTGCTTGCTACTGCGACAACGAGCTTAGCTTTACCGGCGGAACGAAACGCGATCGACGACGCGGAAAGTCAGAGGGAGAAAATGAAAAAAACGGACGAGCAAAAAAACGAGAGAGAAACACACACTTCATAACGGAACACGTACATAACGGAATTACTAATGTTATAATAATTTATAATGGAGTTACAAGAGACGGAAATTTTAACTAGCTACGAAGTGGAGTCGGCAAAAAGTGGCGCTACGAAAAGTCCACTTTAATAACGTAACTTCGTCTTAACTAAGTCAGAAAGTTCTGGCAAATTAATGAAGTTATAAAACAGCAATTTTACTTGCTACCGGGTAAAATCCGGTTACGCGACCCGCATTAAGATTAGGCATTTCGGAACGTCGTTAAACTTTACATCACATCGGAAGTCGTTGAGCGAGAAGCGTGCGTGGGAATCGTGCATGCGACTCGACGTACGATAATAAATGATTAAATCCTCCCAAGGGCAATGAATCGATGCAATCGGGCGCCGGACTAGTGAAAATACAGCTGTTCTCTCTCCGAAAAAAGCTTAATTGAGAAAAGGAGAGAAAAAGAAATCGCCGGAACAAATAGAGCTTCGTTGAAATCGCCTCAGAAAGTACGATCTATTTTTAGAGAATTTCCACGCAGATCGTGACCGCAAATTGACCAGTTTCTCGCGTTATATTTTCATAATTTTTCCCGAACTCCATCATAATTTGTCCCAATTAAAAGAAAATAAAAGATACAGGAAAGAAACACGCACACATGTGGTCGATAGTTTAAGGAGGATGCGCTAAGTGAATATGATTCGAAAGAAAGGAAGAGAGTACTCACTTGAGGAAGAGTTTCTTGAAGGAACGACCGTCCATCTGCGGCGGCGTCTCGACGCCGGCGATATCCAGGAATGTCGGCGCCAGATCGATGTTCAGAACTATGTCGTCTACTCTGCAACGTGGATGCGACGTTACGCGGACATTCTCGGGCCGATATCACCGGGAAACTCACGCGCGCTTTTCGACCATTTATTTGTCTCAATCAGCGGCCTAAGTTTCGCCGATAACAGTGTTTATAATGACTCATCGTCGTGCACATACTTGGCATCCTATAAACTCTCTCGGCCATATGGTTGCACTTGGGGAGGGTACCTGAATTACTCCGCGATGAAGAACGTTTATTGACTCTCTGACATTTAAAATCCCTCCCTTTGACACTAGACAGATCTACAGATTAAACTTTTACTCTGACTTTTTATCACGAAGGGACCTTCCAGTCTCTTTCTTTCTCTCTTTTGCTCTCTCTCTCTCTCTCTTTTGATCTCTTAAATATTTACGGCTTTTACCCTTTTACTTTTACAGATAACTTCTCACCGACGTTGATACTGCAAGAGATAGCTTCACACAGGAGGAATATGAAACAACAAAGCACATAACGGCGAAACGTGCGTTCGCTACTTTCCCAGACACTTCAGGCAACGTCGGTAAGGAAATTCTTTTCTTTCATCGTGTGTACGCACAAAGGAGTGATAATCATTTTTCCAAATATTCCTGAGTGGAAGACAATGCGATGTGTCACGTTCTAATTAGTACAATTAGCAAGTGACATCGGACCTGTTTTTGAGAACAGTCTGCTTCCGTTTGTGAGAGACATCGTTTGACAGAGACACGGTGTTTTTGTCGAGAAAACCAGAGGAGACCGATTCGAGATCGTAAAAACGAGTTGCTCGTAACTCGAGCCCTGGGTGAAACGATCACGAATTCGCATGAGCGGCGATTTAGGAGTGCCGCTCTTTCAGTTACAACCACCGTCCGTTTTTACGTTTCACGGTCCGCGATAATTTATCGCGTTTTCGGGCTTAGCCGAGCAACGGTACCGTGACTCAGCGAGAGAGACTGCCAGACAACGGCCACTTACAGGCAAGTGCTCTATTTATCCGCCGTGAAATCCTGACGGGGTGTTTAAGCGAACAAGTAGATTGTACCTTTGATGTCGAAGCATGTCGAAGCAACGGCACCGCCGCGGCATTCACACCATAGCGTTACCTTGTCCCGCAACGGGAGGAATTATCGTTCGCGTGCTATCCCCTCGAGAACGCGGATTTATGTACAGATCGGGATAATTATATATTATCCGACGGGGCGCTTCATCGGCCGCTTGAAAGTGAAATTAACGCGATCGGCGAGAAGCGCTTGTTCGCGCTCCTTGCATCGGCGCGTAGAGAAATAATTTCTACACGGGAATCGATTTAACTGAATGGCCGTTGGGAAAAGTGCGCAATTGAGCTCCGATAATAGAGATCGCTCAGAGTATCATAAAGTCGATGCGAGAGGTTTGTGAAAGAAAATCGAAAACGACATCATCCAACGTCTCTCGAAGTGTTGAAACTTTGTTGATAAAATGAACAGTGAAGTGTTGACATTTTTATTGATAAAATATCATCTCTCTCTCTCGAGAAAGAGATAGGGAGACCTCGATATTCCTTCGGATTCTTCCCATTTCTTTTTTATCCAGATCTTTCTACGGGTGAATTTTTAACAGAAAAACGACGAGTCTCTCGCATCGACCCGATAAATATAAGCAATCGAGAGACTTACACGGATCCAGCTTCGATACCGGGGCCTCTGATTAAAAAGGGCACCCTCACGTCGAACTCGAATGGGAAGCTCTTGCCTTTGATAAGCCCGAATTGTCCTAAATGGTATCCATGATCGGACGTGTAAATGATATATGTATTATCCAGTTCGCCCAGATCCTTTAGTTCTTGATAGATCTATATGTAAAAATGTGTAAAATCAATGGAACGCAGACGGTACGGTATTTGAGACACTAGTGCTTCCGTTGGATTCGTAAAAAACCTTTTACAACAGCGAAAAATAGTTATGACATTCTCTTCTTAACACTTTGCGGTCCGTCAACAGTATGGTGCCGTCGCGCTCATTTCGACGTTGTAGTCCATCGACGGCACTATGCGACCTGACAACATTGGTTTTATCGATAAATCGCGAAACATACGCGGTTTTAAGCAACATGCGAAACAGATGAATAGCGATTCGTAGCTATGTCAAAAGTTCGAACACATTAGTCAAGCGTCTTCGAGTGGGCCGCAGACCGCAAAGTGTTAAGAAAAGTTACGAGTTTCGTAAATATAGTTCAGCGAAATATTGAACGCGGTTACGCACTCTGTCTACAGCGGCGTCGACGCTCTGTAGAGTTTGCAATCTTTTCGTCATTAAGAGATCCGTGAACTGCTTGTGAATGGGCTGCATCTTCTGCGTCACTTGAAGTATCCACTGCTTATCGGGATTCGGCGCGTAATCGTACGCCGGCGTACTGAAACATGAAAAGTCGCGGAAAACGAGGAAGTTATTAATCAAACAAGTCATTAATTAAATAATTAGTCTGCGAGATATGCGCAATAATAACATTAATTTATAGCCGAAAAAGTTTCAAGGGGATTAAAAAACAGATTTTTACAAATTAGCGTAATCAGACTCTATTCCCGATCGTTGTGGCGGGTTGAGTTTTACGAGGTTCGAATAGTTTTCCGATCTTTCGAAGCGCGAAAACGAGACCCGCCAGGTACGGAAACGCTCTCCCTTTCGCTCACTCTCCCTCAACCGCTCTTTAATTCAATTTCCACAATTTACGATTTCGCCCGACGACCGCGAGGCTGAGCATTTCTCGGAAGAGAATTCCCTTCGGAGAATCGGCTTTGGCGCGATTTGCCGTCTCTCGGCGAGGAATCCACCGATAGCTAATCCAGCTACGCCGCTTCGTCGCGCAGCCTCGCGACGTCGCCCTTAATCACAATCGCGGTCCGCCGTGGTGGGTGTAGCGAGGTCTTAACAAGAAGCGGTCGGGATTTAGGAGCAGCATAGTTTGTCCTTGGAATCCTCGGTAGCTAGACCAAATTGAATTAATCCACCGTGCCCCGCCGTGACCAACGAGACGCGAGAGATCGCCGATGAGAGGAAATCACCGGGGGGATGAAGTACAGAGAGCGGACTCTCGAGACAGGCCGTCGTCGTCACCGCCTCTTTCTCCTCCTCCAATTACGCGAGACACGAAATTATGGGTAATTGGCCCTTCACCTTCTCCACCACGTCCTTCGGAAGCGCTCATACCGCACGCAGGATCTCTCTCCTCGTCTTGATCTTATTATTGACGGGTTCTTCATGCCGCGAGAACAGGTTATGCATACGGTCCGAATTTCGGAGGAATTTAGGGGAAACAGACGACGACGATAGGTGGAAGTAATTGGAATTCCCCTCCGATGCAATATGTACCCGACATCCCTCCGCTCGCGCGTTTTCTCGGGGTAGGAATATTGAGAAACTGTCCCGCTCGATTCTCCCGGTGGAGATGGAATAAACAACCCGCGGGACGGGAGAGCACTACCGTCGGGTTCGTTTGATTCGAAGAGAGAGAGAGAGAGAGAGAGCAAACCGATATTTTATCCTCCAAATTTCATTCCTTCATTCCTAACGTGATCTAATCGGTTCGTCCCGAGCACGTCGTGGTCGTGGTGAAACCGGAGCAGATGGTTTCCGAAGGAAATCGGGGCAAAGGAGAACGGAGGGAAGTAGCCGGAGTTCTTAAGCGCAGAGAGAGAAAGAGACGTGGGAGGAGGCGAGAGCGGCAGGGCTCTCCTTAATTCCCGCTCACAGTCCGCGTTAATTCTATCATGTGGCTTCTCGGTTCTCTGTCTCTCTTTCTCTATCGAACTCGCGCGCGCTCTGCTATAAATTCTCCGTACTTTATGGAAATTTCAAACAAAACACACAATCCAGCCGCATCAGTTCCGAGCGGAGAGCGCATCTCACGGCGCACGTTTCGTCTCGACTCCTTAATTGCGACCTATTCTGCGTTTACCGTCTCGCCACTTAACTCGCCCGCGCGACACCGCGAATTATATTTACACCCAGACGAATGTCATCGCCTGCTCTCCCGTGTCCTTTCGCGCGTTCCTTCGTCTCGTTTTACTCCTCCTCTTCCTCCTCCTCCTCGTCTTTTCGTTTTGCAAAGCGGGACATTTATGCGGACAAATTGCGAACATTCCGCCAGAATGATGGCTGAATCGATTGCGTGTAATTAGTATTTAATTACATATATGGTTAAAGTTTGGAACGATCTTCGAGCAAAAATATAAAAAAAATGCGCACGTAACGCTTGGAAAATACATGCGTAAGAATAAACATGACCGACTTGAAGGTCAAGAATGTTTTGGAGGTGTTGATTGTTGCGATTTTGCGATCGCTCAGTGTACGAACGACGCTTGGCGATCGACGGGCGATGACGTAGCCCTTTTCTGTCCATTGTTTTGATATTCTCGTACAACACATTTTCTGCGACTGAGTCATGACGTCTCGGGACGACGAACGACGTGCATACCGCGTACATACGCGACGCGGGCGTATCGGTGAATTAGTTATTATTCAATCACTCTATCACAGTTATCATTCCAGTCGTGAAATATTTAGTCGTCAGTATCGCGTTCTTCAATATACGTCCCTCTGAATCGAATCGTACCTACGCGAGTGTCATGACGGAGCAACCGGGATTAGGATCCGCTAGATCTGGAAATTAGTGTATAGAACTGCAGGACGAAGGTGGTGACACATCAGATTTTCAGATGCGTTAAATTATTCTCTATTCCGATTTTAATGAACGATTTTAGTTTGACGAGCCCGAATCGAACTTTATCCGGCATTCATAGTACATCATCATCCGGCATACAGTAGTTATAGCTTCGTGAATAGCTGATTATTTGTCAACGTGCACTTGTGTTTATTTCACGCAAGTAATATTAATTTCAACAGTCCATGAATACGAGCCTTTAATTAATTATGCTTTCAATTAGAGATCGTGAATGATTCGCAACTACAAATACCGGCTTTAGAATCTCTTGTCAGTATCGCAAATACTGATTTGTGCGTTTGATAATACTTCTTACGCCGCAATTTTTATCTTGGATTTAACAATGCTTTTTTTCTATTTTTCTTTAGTTCATTGTATCGAATATAAATTTAGATTAGTACATTATTAAACGCGTAACTGCTGTTTGTGCCTGTTATGACTTTTTCCTTTTCAATTTTTTAGGGTTTTCAAATTCCATCGGAATTTCCAACACTAACATAAAAAAGATAATAAAAGAGTTACGAATGAAGAAAGTTTACTTTTTTACTTATCCATCGATTACTTAATATTTATCTCGTGTACTGTGTCTGTGTAAATCTGAGTATGTTACATAATTAATACATCGCTCGTTGAAAGTAAGAATAAAGTTTAAACAGAGATGGAGAGGTAATCCGAATATGAATAGTTCTGAAATAAGTCTCTTCGGGACTCGACATGAAAAAAGAAACGGCAGTAGGTAGACATTTGTAGTATCAAGGTAGAACAACTACAGAGTAAACAATGTGTTAAATTTAATACATTTCCCAAACGATCCGCTCAAATTTGTGTGTTAATTTAATATAAGATAAATATGTTGAAAAATAACACAAATATTATGTAAAAAATTGGCAGAATCGAGACTGAAGTATAAAATGTGTTATTTTAACACTTATACGTGTTAAATATCGACACAACACAAAATGTTAAATTAATAATATAAATACAATATATTAAATTAATACAGGGATATGTTAAAGATTTAAAATTTTGTTCGAAATTTTACACGCAATTTCAACAAGAACCGATTTTAACACAAATATAAAATGTTTTTTACTCCTATGTAGTATAGCGCAGTATTATATTTTAATATTCCCCATTGGTCCTTTAAATTGAACGTAATTTGCGGGACCAATGTAGAATCGAAATTTCGACTCGAGTCGATCGTTCTTCGTCATTTCGGCCGTTTTTCGGACCACGAGACGTCGCGATAGGAATCCGTAATTCGCGCACGAGGCACACTACGAATAATCATCGGCGAAACTCTCGTCGGTCGAAATGAACTTCTGCAAATTATGGCGTGCCGTCCGAGTGCGAGTAATTTTATTTTCCAAGCGTATTACAAGGCTCTCGGGTAATTTCGGTCGTGTTTTTCGCGCGTTCATACAGGTTGCCCACTTTTCAATTATACTCGCGACGACCAGCCGCGTTGCGCGTGCATGAAATTCAAATAGGAAGCGTCGGCGCCGCGCACGAACGACTCCGCGCGGTAACCGAATGCGACGAACGAGTGAGTTTATACCATGTACCGTCCGGAGGAAGCCGAGGCTCATAAACGGTGGCCGGCGAGTTGAGCTAGCTGCGACAATGCCGGGCGATAAAACTTTATATTCGCCGTATCCAGCTTCGCGTGTGCAAAAAGGGCCAAACGCCAGCGTTATTCTATCCCGTTGATCCCGCCAGCAACGCTCGTCGCGGCACTTGCCGCACGTAGGCTGTTCTTTCGTAAAATTTGCAGACCTGCGCGAGCGACTCGTACCTTTATTGCACGTAGGGCGGTTGCCTTTCCGTTTCCATCGGGTAGACCGTCGCGAAATTGTCGCGTGTTCTTTTATTCATAGAATGTTCGGTAGAACAGATAGAATCGGACACATTCAACTAGAAATTGTCATCAAATATACCTGATATTATACAAACTTCTACTAGGTGAACGTAAGATAATCTTTACTATGGCAAATCTAATCATATACTGATAAAAATTAAATAAGGAAGACCTTTGTGAGGTTATAATTAGGTACATATTAGAACCTTAGTATATTATCCTTATATATCATTTCATAAAATTTTATTGAACAGGTCCTTTTTCAGGATCTCGTTTTACCGATTGTGATTATCAGTTTCTAATATAGACCTTCTGTAGCAAACTTCGTATATAATAAGTTTGAGATTAATAAATTTCATTTTTAGAATGTTTTAAATAAAAATATTTGTTGTTTTTGCATTATTAAAATCGAAAATCGTCCAACTCTAATGATATTTGTTTTTTTTAAATATTTTGTAAATACTTTTCACTAGTTTAGCACTCTTTATAACTCGACTCATTATAAATGTACTCTAATCATAATCTTTTTCGTTATCTGAAGTAAAACATAGTAGAGTTTCAACAATATAATCCGATGAGCACATTATAATGAATGCTGACTAAGGTCCTGATTATCACGTAGCATTACATGATTTTTTAGGATCCAATAATATAACTTTAGATGCGCCCGTCAGTTAAAGTCAACTCGAACTGGACCACGAAATAAATTTCTAGTAGGGCACTTGCATCACGATGTCCCGGCTTCATATATCGAGAATCGTAATCGACCAACGCGAAAAAGGTCGCTCTGTCATCGTCGGTTCGTTAACTTTCAATGATGCGCGATAATAAATAGATTCGTCTGCGATCGTGATTAATTATAGTTGTCAGTAGCGGCGAGAATCGTTCGGCTGAAATTGAGCATCGTCGAAATTATATTTGGAAAAGAAAAAGGGGAGAGAGAGAGAGAGAGTGGGCTCGTACTGTCGGCGCTCAAAATCGCGAATGCTCGCGACCGAGCAAATATAAACGCGTCTCCTGTTCGCGACATCATTACCGTCAAACTATCGTTACGGCGAAAACGCGCATTATTAATTTATAATAGTTGTCTCGCGATGCACTTAACATCTTTTGATCCGGCCGGGAATTAGATTACCGGCCGGATAGTGACTGCTTAAAGGCGCGTCAATAAAAGCGACCTGAAAGCACGTTACCGTGCATGCCGCTCGACACATTAATTTCTGTCGATTAGCTTTTGAGTGGCACGAGGACGCGCGCGCGCGCACGGTTCTATGGCTGTGATGTACGAGCGCAGAATGAAAACCTCGGTATTAAAACGCTTGGTTGCCCGCCTGTCCGCGCTCGGTCCCATCGCGTAAATGCCCTGCGTGCACCGTCCTGATGTCGCGCGGTAATTAAATACAATTTACAACGCCGAGGTGTTAACGAATACCTCGCGAAAGCGCGCTCGCGTGCACGACCTGCTCTCTCTTTATCAGCGTCACCTTTCCACGACGCGACTTTTCCGTTTCGTGAGTCTCATTTACGATGTCCGTCCTGTGTCGTCCACTCGAGAAAATCCGGGAAAATCTTCAAATTCTCGGCATGAAATTTTCGTCGAAATCGTCCTCGAGAGACTTCCTTTTGGGAGCCGTTCAGAAACTTCGCTCGAAAAGCCTTTTCGAGATATTTCCTCGAAGCTTGAGTAGCCCCTTTATTTTTTCATCGTGCGCGAGTGGGAAACATGGTAGATGAATTCGTCTTTATTCAGCGGAAAATCCGAATTAACCGATAATGTCTTTTATACAGCCGATTATTTAACGGCCATTTGTCCTATTGTCGTCCGATCGACCCGCTCTGTCGCATCTCGACGAGGAAAACAAATAAAATTACACGCCCGGACTAGGAACGAACGCGCCCACACAGTAAAAGGTATTTTGTACTTGTGTTAAAATCGATCCTTGTTTAAAAAATGTTGCATTAAATTTTTAACATACTCGTGTGTTAATTTAACATATTGTGTTTATGTTTTATGTTATCTCAATATTAACTCGATATTCAACATGTGTAAATGTTAAAATAACACATTTTATATTTCAGTGTCGATTAACATATTATGGATATTAATTTTCTGTTTATTTTTTATATAATATTTGTGTGGTTTTTCAACATATTCACCTTGTGTTAAATTAAGATTCCTGATTATTCACTGTAACTGTCCTTGTTTAATGACGTCAGAAGCGAGAAAATACATGCCAGCGCTTTTTTGCGTTATACTTTTAAATAAAAAAATTTATTCATAAAATGACATTTATGGTCGATTCAACACATTTATAAAATTAGATGATTACTTTTCTTTTATTCAAACAATCCCAAAATAGTCGTAAAATGAATATTAACAAAGTTATGAAAAAGGAGAGTAAAGAGATTAAAGAGGTAGATTTTGTGTCAAGTTAATTTTACAGCTATTTATTGACTGTTCGAGCGAAAGAAAAGTGTTCGTCCAATTTTACAAGTATGCTGAATCGATCGCAAGTGTCATTTTTCGGATATATCTTGTTACTTGAGAGCACAAAAAATTTTGGCATGCGTTTCCTCGTTTCTGACGTAGTGAGTAGTTGGGAGCCTTAATACAAAAATTTAACACCAAATTTTTTACCGTGCAGGTGAACCCGTCGTCGCGCTCTCACCTCGAACTTAGTCGCGGCCTCTTCACCCCACCGCGTGTAGGCGCAGGCGCGCGTGATAACACCCGACAATGTCTCGACTACACAATAACGGGGAGCGCTTTTCATATGGTGCTTTTTCTTTCTCTCGTAATGTCTAGGGCACTCTATCATTCGCCGACGGTTGTCTGTCCGCGTCGATTCGGAGAGCCAGTTCTGCTGCGCGTGCGAACTTTTCCAAGTGCACCTCGACGCAAGCCCCGCGTCCGACAGCGCGCCTTCCGCTCCTGCTCTCCGTTACGTCGCTCGTCCGTGCGTTTCGCCGGCGGTAACGCGGATTTCGAGCGGATGGAGATAAACGCGAATTCAGTATTCGGCGTTCAACGAGGCGACACGACGTTCGTCGCATTGTCGAGAGCAAGATTGAAGGGTGTGCGGAGAAGGGTCCGGCCCGTCAAGCGGAGGGTCGCGCGCTCGCGTTCTCGTTTTTTCGCGGGGACAATCCTTATTGTGCTCGGAGCGCGACGGGATGTCACGCGCGGCGCGCCGCGTTCTCCGCGTCCGTGTGCGTTATCGGGAGAGCGGAAAAGCGGTCGCAACAACGAAAAATAATAGTCCCGCGTCAGCTGTACATACACCGCTGGTCGTCGGCTCGATGAAGTCGCCGCGGTTGTCATGGCAGCATCGGCACGATATCAATAGCGATCGATCCGGAATAACGACAGCGGCGGTAATCGCGTGTGAACGCTCCTTTGAATTCTCCCACCGAATGTCGGCGAACGCTCAACGAGGGGAAGCCGGCCGAGCGATAAGGAGCAGGTGGTTTGACGCGACAATCGCGAGTTTAACGCGGCTGACGGAGAAGGCTGCGCTTATTGCTTTCTCGCGGTACATTTCGGCTTATTTTACAACTTCGCCGCATCGCTAGCAGGGAAAAAAAGGATCCACGGTTAAAAACTAGCTATCCACATGATACAACTGAAATTTAGCTACCAGAACTAGTTTTTAGCTGTGGCAGCTAATTCCTTTTTCCGTCAGCTCGTTGTTAATTTAATTAAGAATTGCTCGACGATGGATTTTTCTCGCGTCATCGTCGTCGCGAAAATAGGCTGGTAGGTGGATAGATAAGTAGATAAGTAAGTACTCACTGATGAGTGGTGACGTTGAAGAAGAGATGCGAGAACTGCGGCGCCGAGTCCTCCGGGCCGTGCGGCGCCGGGAAGCTCGCGACGAGCATTACCGGCTTCCGGGCGAAATTGTGTTTGCTCTGTCTGAGGAAAGCCACGCTGTCGTTGGCTATCAGGTCCGGATAATAGTCCCGGCTGTACTCGAAGCCGTGCTTTATCTTCTTGCCGTTCATGTTGACGCTGTAGTTGTAGTAGCGCGAATTCATTATGAGGCCGCCCCACTCCCGCCATCCCGGCGGTATGTACGAGCCGTTGTACTTGTTTAAATACTTGCCGAAGTATCCTGCAAAACGTGCAAAATCGCGGGAATTAAATCGAGCGCGCGCCCGAGGACCGTGCACGATCGGCCACGCAGATGCATAATTAAATTCAATCTCGCCGCTCTCCCTTTCTTTTTCTCCCTCCCTCTCTTTCTCTATTTTTCCTTCTACTTTTCTTTCTGCTTTTCTTTCCGCTTTTCCTCCTGCTTTTCTTCCTACTTTTCTTTTTTTTTAAACCTGCTATTGTAAATGATTTATAACCACTTTATTTTCCTTCGTCGATATAAATTCATCGATATCTTATATAGATTGATGAATGGGATGATTTCGCGTTCTTCTATGCTCATGTTATTTGGTCTTAATGTACCTGCCAGAAATCTGAGAAAATGCGATCTTTCCTTCGTTTAAAAACTTTATGTAGGAGATTCAGATCTGTAAGTCGGATCACCATACTTGCTAATCGATATTCATTTGCGATTGATTACTTTAATATCTAAGTTTGGATTTGCCATAACAAAAAGTTGAATTGGAACCTGATTTTATTAATGGTTAATTGAATTCTCTTTTTCATTTATTTTTCTTTATTTCCTTTATTACGTACCAAAGGGACTATATTCCGTTAATAAAAAATATGAATATGCTTATCGTGCTCATGTACACTCGAAGTCTTTAGAGGGTTTACCCTAGAATTATAATAAATGCTTCTCCCCTTTCTCTCACTAAACCATCTCCCTCACCCCTCGATGAATTGTTGTTTAATTTCGATACATTCCCAGCGTTTGTGCGATAATTGTACAATCGGTGCCTGTATCGCGCAGGCGATAGCTGTTGGCACGCTCGTACAGTTCGCTAAACTTCGTGCTTAACGATTGAAACGCAACACCGGCTCGTAAATTATTACGTTTCGTCGGTAACGAGCTAAATTACGGCGTTTTCCAGCCCGCCAGTTTTCAAGCTGATATGTAAAACCCTCTATTGCTCTGATCGATAGCATCTACGGCCGGGGGAATTCGCGAAGAAGTGGTTCGCACTGACATTTCCCTCGATATCGCCGTGCGCTTTGTAATTTAACGCACGTGAACTCCACAGGTTAAACGAGCAATCGCCGCGAAGCGTGACACATTCGTTAGATGTTAGATTAATGAGGAAAAAAAGGGTCTCGCTCGTGGCACCCCCCCCTTCCCCTCTTCCCCGTCGAAGAGAGTACGGCGATAATAATTAATGTGCCTCGGACACGCTCCGCTCGTCGCTGGAACTGACTCACATAATAAATCGACCGCTCCGTCCGACACTTCGGCTTCGCGATACAGTGCGCGAGCACTGCGCCACAAAGGCGGAAGGTGGAATTAGTCGAGTGGTAGAACCAAATACACGCGAGGAATACGGGGAGGAGAAACCATGCGCGGCCTGGTCGTACTACGTGAATCACACGTTACGCTTCGAATTAACTTATTTTGTGGTAGTGCCGTCCGCGCGCACACTAACATGGTGATATTAATCATAGCTATGATCACCGTGCATCTCGATTTTCCTGCGGGACGTCATCGAATTCGGACGACGTTTTGTCTCGCATGTGGAGTCCCGCTTGAACGCTATTCGCGAGGGAGAAAATATTTCTCGATATCGAGAAATGATCGTCCGCACGGAGAAAAATAATTTGCTGGCACAGCAAATTTCACGCTGTCGCAGCAAAATCTATCAGTTACTATGTGGACAGCAGAACAACTTTTCAAGAGTTCAACTAACAATTTGTTAATTACTAATCGCCATTCGCTAGATTATCTTGCTGTGAGAACAAATCGGCAAATTAAGGAAAACACTGTGTGTTGCTCGAACAGCAAGTTAACGTGTCCTAAGGACAAATTCACTCGGCAGAATATTTCTTATCCTGGCATGAAAACTAGTTTCTATTCTAATTACGAACAATTTGGTTGTGCCAACAACAGCAAAATTATTTTTCTCTGTGCAACGTTGAAAATATCGCAACATTCATTTCCAGAATGTCGAGAAACACGCGTGACGCACAGTCGCAAATTTCATTGCTCCCTGGTTTTCCCCTCGATGGGAAAAACACACACACACTGTTTTGCCCCCTAGTTTCCCTTGCGACGGGAAAACACACGCTGATACATTCGCCGATGGGGCAGCGATAATCGCGTCGTTTATCGTGAAGCGTGCCGCGTCGTGATTCACGACGGTCGCCGCAGCGTCATTTTTCCGCGTGGGAAATACGCGCGGCAGAAAATCAAGGTGGCGCTCCTTTGCGCTCGCCCGCGCGCGCCAAGTGAGTTCACTTCTCGTCTCGAGGGCCGGAACGAAAAATCCACAAAGTGTACGCCACACCTCGGTCGGGCGTGTACACACCGGCGCCGGTGATATATCAAAAGGCAATTCCATTTCCCGGTTTCCGCCTTCCCGCGCGCCAAGAGAACCTCGGTCAAGATTCATCCCGTCCGAAATCTGAATTATTCATACACGGGGCGGCATCAAATAATTAATTCAAAGGCACCACCGGCGGGACCGTTCCTCTCGTTCGTAGCTCGCCGTTGCGCGCTCCTTCGCGTATCCTTCTCGCCGGGGTATCCCTCTGCACCAGCAGGCACGTATATCGCTGCTTATTTATAAAAGTTGCACGACCCGGCGACTTCGGCACCACGACTTTTTGCCGGGACCACCGTGTGCGCGGCCATGTCTCGTTATTCTCTCCCCCTCCCCTCCTTCTCTCTTTCTCACTCTCATTTCGCATTCACCGATGACGTCTCAATAAAACTTGAAGTTCGAGGCTCGTGTTAATAGTTGTCATTTGAAACCTGTCCTCGGTGAGTTACTAGAAACTTGAATTTAGAGTTAGACATGAGTTTTTCTCTGGTCGTGATTGCAAATATAATATCACGTATATCACATGTCAACTGTAAAACTTAGATTTAATTCTAAATTAAAATTTGAGTATCATCACACGTGAGACGAGTTTGAAGTATTCAGTTTTAGGTTGGCCGCTACTGCAAATAACAGGTCTATTCCTTGAAATTAAACTAAGCTGCATCTTTTGTTTTTAGAGTGAAACAAATATAATCTAGCGTTGAAATGAAAAGGAACGAGATCCCAATGCAGCACTATTTCAGCTAAAAAATGACCTGATCATGCTATGTTACACTATAATATTTACCTATAATATCATATTACTTCATTGGAAAAGATTCAGATCTAACTCTAAATTCAGATCTGAATATCGCACGTGAGACAAGTAACGACTCTTAATACGGGCCTGAGATTTGTAATCTCAAATTTCAAACTTCCAATTCGCATATGAAATTTCCCGAAGGAAGTTATAACACGTATGGCTGCTTTGACGGAACGTCTCTGTGACAAATGCGCGAATCTCACGTGGCGTCTTGGAACTCGCGTGGTTTATCCCGCCGATATCGGTGGTATCGATCGCTCGAGCTCGACGACCTCGCTCGCCGAGGAGAATTATCCGCGTGAAATATAGGGCGATTTATCAGAATTGCAGTCGATTACGCATCACACCTGTTGCTTCGCTCATGGTGGAAACACGACGCGCGATGGCGTAAAAGAACGGCGATACGCAAATTAAAATTCACTATGGCTGAGCGGCGATCCGCCGCGGGACAACGGTCCGATCCGCTGAAAAAAAAAAGGAAAAAGAAGAAGGAGAGAAGAGAAAAAAGCGAACAGGCGGAATCGTACGTCGCGAAGCCGAACGACGGCGGCGACTCCGGCAGAAGGGCGCGCCGCGATATTCTGGCGCCAGTCGCCGCCGATCGAGTTTTCGTCGGGACAAACAAAACGAAGCAGAATGCGAACGAGGCGACGGGAGGAAGCGTTCGTTCGACGTGGCGGATACGTTCCGCCGCTGTAGGAAGAATATGGGTCAGACAGACGGATTCGAATTCGCCGCAGGATTCGTCGTGGTCGGGTCGAGAAGACACCGACGGACGCTGTGAGCGAGCTCACACGAAAAGCGGGGAAGGGTGCCGTTCCAAAATCCAGCCCTGTGTACTTTAAATACCGAGGTCCAACTGCGCGAACAATTACGGCCGCGCGCGAGAAAGAGAGAGATATAGAAATAAATCCTCGTATTACGTTTCCCGCTCATTAATTCTCGTGGAATTTCCGCGAGTCCAGGAAGCTTCTCGGGATACCAATAGATATTCGTCGTTATTAACGACTCGCGTTTCCGACCAACACAGCAGCCTCGTCCTGAATCTTTCCGTCCGTGAAGAATTTCGGAAAAAAGATAGCACTCGCCGTTTTTATCGGGGGGGAACTCGATTCACGTTCTCTCGCAACTCGATAATCACGGTAATTAAAACGAAACCCAGTTACCTACGGTAATTGCTATAATGTTGACTTGGGCGTACTTTTAATTCTCGTGATTCCATATAGAGTGTTTCAGAAATGGGTTGCTAAATGAACATATTATATTGATGAAAAGAAATTGTGTGAACGTGCGCCCGGAAACCGGTTCTTTCCTGCATTATAAGCATTTTTTATTTACGACAGATAACATACCTCACATCGACATCTCATCGGATTATCCTTCATCTTCTATTAGTACAAGACGTTAAGCGAGAAGTTAAGATATTAAACAAGAAGTTAAGCCCGTAGGCTCTTATTTATGAGGACATATTAAGACTCTCATTTCTGATACTCCTGCTATTGTAGAAATACTCCGAAATATCATATTATCGCTTCGTGTGACAGATTACAAAGTATCCGGGAATTTTGAACGTCTTCAACAATCCATGAGACGTCGACGCGAGTTATATATTGATGCGGAAGAAAATCAAACCAGCAATTTCTTTAATAAAGCGTCCTTATCCAAGTCTATAAGCAAAAAATATTTATAATTGGGAAAGGAAACGTTTGTTCAGACCTATGTTCATCTGACTTTTTTATCTTTACAGTGAGCAGTCAATAGAATATGTTCTTAAAGTTTGGCGACCTATTTCTGAAACGCCCTGCACACGCACGCACACACACACACACACAAAATTCTAAT